TTTTTTTTTTTTTTTTTTTTTTTTTTGTTTTTGTTTATATTTTTTTTTTTTTGTTGTTTTTTTTTTTTTTTTTTATTTTTTTTTTTTTTAATTTATTTGTATTTTTTTTTTTTTTTTTAAGGGTGTAAATTTCACTTCATATCGCACAACTAATTTTCGGGAATATCTTCTCAGAATTTAGTGCGTCACTCACGGAATGAAATTACGTCATCAAACAACACACCGGATGAGCATGGGATGAAAGCATTAACCCCGACCCGACTGCAAAATAAAAACGACTTTCACATGCATATCCATGCATACGTTGTAATTGTTATGACTTTGTGTTGACTTTAACTAACAACAACGATCTTACCAGTGCCTTTTAAATGCCACATAAGGAAACAACGAACGTGGAGATGTCCCTCGACGAGTTTCTCTTATCTTCTGATGCTAGGTTCGTAACCACTGAATTATTACTAACCGATTATTAGTTAAATTAATATAAATTTTGTAAGGCTGAGCCAGGTACTGACCCGGATACCCGGGAAATAACGAGTGTTAACACCCTAGGTAGTGCCTACATCACCTGCAAGAAGTGGAACCGGGTCCAGGAGGTAAAAAAAAAAAATGAGTTATCTTCTTCTATATATTAAGGGCCCATGATCAATATATTGATTATTTTGGCTCATATGCATGTAGAGGGGATTTGCAATGTTTCTGTGCCTGTTTTGATGAGATTATTTCACCGATTGCCAGTGCCACTTAGTGAGGGTATCATGTAGCCTACTTATTTTCTGTAACTGTACCTGTTCCAGCTAATGTGGAAAAAAAATGAAAAGTGTATATCTGCATTTACATATTTTTTTTTTACAGAATGTTTATACATTTTACCTGAATTAAATAAATTATAATAGAAAAGTGATTGCCAGTGCCACTTAGTGAGGGTATAATGCACTTATTTTCTGTAACTGGACGTGTTCCAGCTAATGTGGAAAAAAAAAGGAAAAGTGCATATCTGCATTTACATATTTTTTTTTACAGAATTTTTGTACATTTTATCCGAATTAAATAAATTATAATAGAAAAGTGAATTGACTAGTTCTTGGTGCAATACAAAATAATATCCTATGTACTTTTTGTGAATTTTTTGTAAATATTAATTATATTTGAATTTGTCTTTTAACAAGTTGCATATTTACAATTAATATTTTGTTTCACAATCTGACTAAGTGATGATACTTACTTAGAGCAAGTAGCCAATTTTTTAATTTAAAAAAAAAAATCATTTTTAAGTTCTGTCCATAGAATTCAATAATAGTATTAATAGTGATGTAATTTAAGGCTCATTTAATTTAAAACATGAAACCATTGGTTTAATTGAAGGAAGGCTAGGATGGTATCACCATGATTATGATATAAATATTTATAATAATATGCGTACATTGGTATCAGAAAAATGAAAACTACTACCAACAAACAACCAGCAACACTAACATACCGAAGATCTGATCCATGTTTAATTTAATTTTTGTTATATAGGCCTATGGGTTAGGGCAGTGTTCTCAAACTGTGGGGGAATGTCGTCTTACATATATTAGGGGTCGCTTGAGAATTTTAGAAATAAATGTATATATATTTTTAAAAGGTGGGGGGGGGGTGTGTGTCCTAAAATGTGCATTATGTATTATTTAAATTTTTAATTTTGAAATTTAAATATTGATTGCAGTGATCAGACTGGTTGCTTATTTTTACTATACTCTCACTGCATTACATCTACTTAAAATAAAATATAGGCCTTAAATGTTTTTTAGATGTTGGCAGCTAATTTAATATAAATATTTTGGCAGTTTTTTTTCTTCTTTTTTTTTTATATTACAATGTATGTTATATGATTTTATGCTAATTATTTCTTCTGTTTCATTTTCCCTTTAAATTTAAAAGTTGTTGACGGCTTCCATGCAAAACTATGACCAAATGTGTGACTTGATGAAAACATTTCTGGGTATCAACCTACAGAGCCCCCTCTTCAGAACCTTCTACCTGCTTTAACATTTATTTCTGCTTCCCTTCAGTTCCCTTCAAAAACAAAATACATATAGCTTTTTATCCACAAAGAGAAAGAAAAATAAAACCTCTGCAACCCCACCCCCCCTCCCCTCTCTTTTAAAGAAGGGTCACAGCACTAAAAAGGTTGAGAATCGCTGGGTTAGAATTATATTATTAAGCTATTTGTATTTTGTATCGTTCATCTTTGATGCCTTCGTGATAGCTACAGATTCTAAACATGCACTTTTCATTTCTTCCCATTGTGTGGAATAAATTAAAGAAAATGAGAAGATAACTCCTTTTTGTAAAACCTGAATCCTGATTCGAACCTACCTGGTATTGTATTAAAATACCTGGACCAGGACCTGGTGTAAAAAAACTGCACCTGACTCAGCCCTACTAATCAGCCTACTTTAAACTAGTCTAGCGGCATTTCCGTGTATAATTAGTAATGAATCCTGTATTTAATACTTTTTAATTTAATTTACTATTAGTACACAAATACTGTGTTACTATAATAATGCTAATACTAATAGATATGTTGGTACTTTGTTGAGTGCAAGACAAGTACACTCAGTTCACTTGATATAAATTAAAATTTAAAATATTAAATGGCAGGCTACAATACCCATGGGAAATAATTCATTGTCTGTATGAAATTGTTAAGGATCCATCAAAGACCAAGTTTTTGTTTCCATTATTTATTTTTGATATTCATTTTGATTCCCCTTTTAAATAGCAGCTATTTAAATTTTTAAAATGTAAATAATGTCATGCAGTCAGTGAGACATTGTGCTACTGTGGGGGTTTTGGTTAGAGTGAAACCTGGAAATAATGAACCTTGAAATAGCAATGTCCCTAGCATATGCTCTAATTTGCCCCAACACAGAATCATTATTTACTATCACATGTAAATACCACCACTTTTACTTTGGTCCCAAAGGTTTGAGCTATTTCCAGGTTTCACTATATATAAAGGCTGCATCTATAGGTACCCGGGTACCTATCATCGCCAATGACAATTCGCACCCGGAGTGGCTCCGTACATATTAAATGGCTTCGAAGCCGAATGTGATAACAATAATAGTATGAGAATTATTTTTTGAAATTGTTTTTTCTCCTTGTTTATTTGATTGATTCATAGTTTTATTATTTTTAGTTGTTTTTTTTATTTTTGCTTTGTTAATTTCTCTTAGTACCGGTAATTTTTTTCTTTCTTATTTTCTTTTTTTAGTTTAAGCCATTTTCGTAGATCAATTATTATTTTTTTTTAAATCGAGTAATGAAGATGATTTAGATACATTTATTGTTTTTATTTGAATTTTAGAAAAGTAATAATATTAATTTAATTATTAAAATTAAATCCTTTATTTAAGATTATTTATGTGTATTGTTTAAGTTAAAAGATTTAATCACACAGTACTTTATGAATTAATTAGGTATTCTAAATAATGAAAATTTCATTCATAATGAATTAATTTCAACTATTCCTCTAGAGAGCTTGGCTTAGTCAGAGCAAAACTACCAATTTTAAACCTTTTCCTTGGCACTGGGAGTCATACATGCGGACACTAACTGTTTTTCCTGATATCTTGAATCTCCTTTCAACAACCTTTCTCATTTGACTTGACCTAATTCACAAGGTAGTTGCAATGAACATCTTAAAGTTAAAGGATGCCATTGTATAAAGTATGAGGAGACTTATTTTTGGAGGACTAGTTTTTTTTTTTTTTTTACCATATCTGTCTGCTGGGTCTAACACACTGGTACATAATTTAATAGAAAAAAAACCCTTAACTGACTTGCAAACATTTTTGTTTGGTTGTTAGTTATTTGAGTTGTGTACTCAAGTAATCCATAAAATAAATTAGGGGCCAGTATGGAGTAGGCAGCCATTAAACTCATTCAATTAGGTCACATCATTCCTTTGCCATTTGTCTCCTTTTACTTTCTCACCTTCCTTGTTGGTACCCGTACAGTTAACTATTGTTTGTACGGTATCATTTCTTCATTTAAGTACAGACGTAATGATTGAGTGGGAGCAAATATATGTGATCTGTGAAGGGAGTTTGGTTTCAAGGCAACTAAGTCATGCCACATTGAAAATAAAATACTGATAACCTAAATAAATAGAGCCATTGAAAAAAATACAGTACATACAAACCATACACAAACAGAAAGACAAAAATCCACTAAATTTTAAAAAAAAATTTGTTGTGACTTTTATTGCAAAAAATTAAACATTTAATACCAATTTTGACTTTACGCAAAATGATTAAAAACAAATTTGTATTGCATTGTATTGTAAATTATTGTACTGTATTGTAAATGAAACTTGGCATACACATTAAGAATAACATTGACAAAAAGTTTAAAGAAGATTATTACACAGCAGTTATTGGAATTGTTACAAATGGCATGTATGTGGGGGTCACATAAATATTTGAGAACTCTTCAGGGGTAGCAAATGTAAAAATGTTATAAAACTTTCTAGTTGGATATATATATATAAAAAAAAACCTCTTGAATTTCGTAAAGAATATCAATGAAAAGAAGCATGCAATGTTTGAAGGCTGTAGCTAGAATACTTTCCCTTTCCGATTCATTTGGCGTTCCTTAAAAAATCAGGAAAATGCAAAATTGAGAAAAATGAAAAAAAAAAATAAAATAAAATTGTGTTTTTTTAAATTAGAGGCTGCATGAACGATATAGGATGCATACACCATGTACATATATCCTTCATGATTTAAAAAACAATTAGAAAACTAAGACAGAAAAGATAGGAAAAAAAATTAACACACGAACCTAATAAATAAAATGCATAAATACAAACATTCTCTGAAAACTTTTCCTATGAGACATTTGTTTAAAAACAATCCATCATAAAGTAAAGAATCTCAACATAAATAAGCATGCAAAGTTTCAATTATGTAGTTCCAAAACTATTCCTCCTGATTCATCAATTGATGTCAGAAAAAAATATAATGAAAATGCTATAGTATATAAAAGCTGAAAAAGACACAGAAACAACATTGATGCATACATCATGAACACATCCCAAAAAATTATTGTTAGGTTGTAAGAAAAAATTTGGTATCAAATGAAAGATAATTGAATGGACTATATGTTTGTAAACTTAATTCTTCAGTTTAACTAAAGGAACATTAACTAAAATAAATTACCACAAATGACATCCGAATAGGTCTATTGGACCCGGGTTTGAATAGCGACAGCCATTTATTTACAAACATTCACATCTTTATTTTATACAAGTAGTGGACAATTGTTGGGGCAGCTATCTTTTTCTTTTCAGGGTAAAATTTTGCTTTACCTTCGGTCGCCCCTTTGGTCGCACTCTCTCAAAGTTAACCTTTCCAAAGGAATTAATACTATTTTCAGTTTCAATTTTTTCGAAATTATTTGCAGCAACTGTTTCCTCGTGGGAAAAATGAATGTCATTTATATCAACAAAATCAATTAGTTGACTTTGAATGAAACTTGTTTGTGGTTCACCTTCATCAAGTTGTGACCCCGATTCATTTTCATCTAAATTTTCAGGACTTTTCCAGAGACTTATAGTAGTTTCAAGAAAGGATATTTTCTCTACAAAATCTTGTTCTCCTTGCATCGCCAAAAAATTTGCCAAGCCCATACAAATTCTTTTAGCATGATTAAACCGACCCTCTTGAGTCTTAAAATTATTGTTTCTAGTAGATACAATTTGAGAAGTTACTGAACCACTAGAAGTAGAAGCAACCACTCTAGGAACACTATGTTTGCTAAAACGGCATGGAATTAACTCTGAACAAAATTCTGGAAGCTGTAAATGTCTTCGAACTGAAAAAATATGTCTGCAAGGTAATGCCATCTTTTTAGCAAATGAACAATTACATTGAACTGATGTTGAGCTAAAAATACGTTCCTTATAAGCTACTGAAAAAAGTTCTGCCTCTCCAGGGACAACAGAGTACGGAACAGATCGTGACAATTTGAGCTGATTGAGCAATAGAGCAGCAGCAAAGGAAGTAGCAACACTTTCAATCTTATTTACACTTTCATCATTATCAGATGACGTATACTGAGCTGTGTTTGCAGCAAGCAATCTTAAACGATCACATACTGTAATTTTGCAGTTGTCAAAAGACATAAGGTTACGAAGAGCAGATGAAAAAGAAAGATAATGAGTCAAACTCTTTTTTATTTTGGCATGATAAGACTCCAAGTGATTTGTTGTTGTCGCATGGAGTCTTAAAACATCAGCATTGGATGATGCTGCCCATAAATGGGCCTTACTCCACCAGTTTGACTCAAAATACTCCAAAGCTACATCAGGAAGAGTATTTTTCATGTCTTGCATTAACTTTAAAAATTCATCACACGACTCAGTATAAACTTGAGACATAAATCCTTCAAGAATTGGCTTAACATGCTCAGGACCTACATGTTTCGAAAGAAACCTGTGCACAGCCTGGTTAATGTGAAAATGACATAGATTAACAGGTACATTTGGAAAGAGATCATTTATAGCAGAGATTTCAGCCATGTCTTTGTCAACCACAAAGCACTTGAAAAGACTGGCATCAGAATTCTTCAGAAGAAGCTGCAAACAAAGAGAAATAGATTCCTTATCTTCATTTTTTACAAAACCATGAAGAACAGGAATGCCCATGCCCTCTCCATCAATAAACAGTGCAGTCAAAAGTGGATATAAATATTTATTGGTTTTATATGTGAAATCCATTAATAAAACCTCTGGATATTGGGCAATAATTCTAATCATATCATCAGTCATGTATGATAAATACTTAAATTCCCCACTTTCTGTTAGTCCATAGGACACACTTCCACCAGCTTGTGATATAGAATGAAGTATAGATTAAGTTTCAGTTGCATCAGAAGATGATTTATTTATTCTTGACTTAATATTGTAAATGTCCCTGGGAAGCAAATCCACATCATGCTGTTGTTCAAGCACTTGCCGGGCCTCAGATGCCTGAATCGTGGTGCAGGACATCAACAGAAGCGTTGCCGCATTTAGTTCCACCTTGCGGTTTTCCGGATACAAGCGGCACATCTGGAAAAAAAATACACAAAGGTTACTTTGCAATAATAAGTATTATGTAAAAAAATATGCTCTGCAAACATTATTATTATTAGTGGTCTTATAAAAGGTTCCCTTTAAGCTGCGCTGCCGCGCAGCCATCTCACAGGCGCTGCGCAGCAGTTTTGAGTATCCGCACAGCAAATTTCATTCTAAGTGTGTGTTTGTGTTTCTGGACTGTAAAATTTTGCACACAAAAAAATTGATGCTGTAAAACTTTGCACATAACTGTATGATTTTGCACACAAAACAACAAACCTTAGAGGGAACATTGGTCTTATATAGTGCGGTACCCCAGCCTAGGGCTAGGCTCACCGCTGTGTACATAAAAATAACTAACCTTCACCTTGGGGATAAATGTTTTATGTTTATTATATGTCACAATAATCAAAATTAAGATTAAAACTCTGTCTGGACTATTTAGAATTTATTAAATTTAATTATACTGTTAAATAGATTTGTCTTAATTTTTTTCAAAACCTTTCTATGGTAAGGGTGGTAACCCTAACCTTAACCAAAAGTTTTCAGTGATAAAATTTCTGAGCGCCCTAGATTGAATGGGTTAATGAATGGTACAAAACATTCTTTTAAAATGCATCCATCTAAACTCTATAGTACTAGAGACTAGAGTACCTGTAGGTGACAACAACCTGCCACAAGAATAAGCTATTTATTATTATTATGTAAATATTTTTCGCAGCACATGCACTTACTTCTTTTGATACTTCATGGCCAGTATGTTCATGCATTGATTTGGTAATTTCTAGCCGAGATGGATTTCTCTTGGCAACAAGCTTTATCTTTGCCTGGCATCCCAATTTGAAAGAACTGAAAAATATAAAAATTCTCAACGAATTGCCAAAAGTGGTAAGGGCTAATGTAGAGCACGAATGCCACGGCGTCATTTGCTTCTTTATTATAGTTGCAGTGAATTAGGGTTCAGGTTAGGTTGAGAGGTCGATTAAGGGTTCAGGTTAGGCATCGGCATAGGCATAGCATAGTGATCGATTTAGGGATACATTAGTCGCGGCCATCGATAAAATAGTGGCATTCGTCCTCTCCATTTACCGTGGTAATAATCATTGGCTTGGAGAAATAATTATTACATGACAAGAACAACTAAATTTAAAGTTAACCTATTATTATTACTTTATTACTTACGCTTGTGATTTTCTTTGGCCTGTTGTCGTTGAAGACTTTGACTTGCGTTTAACGCCTTGTTTGCAACAGTGAATTATATATTCATATTTAAGGTGTTCCAAATTGGGATCTTTCATCTTCTCTGACGATCTTTTAGTGAAACACACATTGTGTTCTTTACAAAAATAATTCAATTCGTCTTAAAAAGACGCATAGGTGTCAAAATTGCTACCAACCTCCATTTTTATAAAAGAAAGCGCGGCAAACTTGTCGATTATTAAGCCTCTCGTTCGGATCATGTTTTTTTTTCGATTACTAAGACTTTCGGGTGCGAATAGTCATTGGCGATGATGGGTACTCGGGTACCTATAGCCACTTCGATATATAAAAGTGCCGGTACGTCACTGATCATTTATTCGCCCCACCCCCCTCTCCCCTTCCAATTCTTTCTAGAAAACTGGATTTAAATGAAAGCTAAATAAACTGTTTAACATTTAGGTTAGCCAATGTTTTCAGAGTTCCAGTATCTCATAATAGTGAGTAGTATTTGTTGATAATATAATATTAGGACAAGATCATTTTAACATGACCAACTAGATAGTCTATTGTAGCAGGTCATGATTTTATTCCCTAAAATCTCTTTCTTTTGGTTGCACTTGGTAGAAAATGCTTCCTACTTCTAGATATAGAAAAGAATGTTGCCAGGGGCGGATTGCCTCTCCCTCCTTTACCACTGCATGCAGTGCCATCCATACAAACATGGAGAAGGACTGTGAAGTTGGCATCTGCCAAAACCGTCAACACACTTGATAACAACTTTTTAAAATTTATAATTAAGTGTGTATCATTTATAGATGAAATGTGGTTGAGAGAATTTTTTAGGATTTACTCTAGACACATCTTTTCTTTGGCATTTTTCTGGTGTCATGTATTATAATGCATAATATAGGCAGGTCCAACCTGCTTGGTGTTTAGCCCTTAACCTTCAGTAGTCTTCAGGATTTTAAAACTTTTACATAGCTAGTCTTAGCAAGTTTTATTTATTCTTGATATATTATACTACAATAGTATCATTATAAGAAGTATAGGTATACTAGGTATTATATAGTCTTATGTTACAATTTTTTTAGTTAGGCTTATTAAAGTCTGTGTAGGCAATACTAGTGTAGTAACCGGTATAGCATATAGTGCCTTATAAAAAATAATGTACTCTTCAACCAATAGGGGATATAGCTTAGTGATGTGACCTAATAAATAAAGTGTGATTTTGTGCAGAGAGTTTTCCTGTTTTCTATGAGTCAGTGAGTCTTCTCACTGGCATTGAAACACAATACCAATGCAAAGTGCCTTTATTTCACTCCCCAATGAGTGTGAATTGCAAGATGAATTTTATTTCTTCTAGCTGCAAACATGTACATTTCCTAAGTTTACCAAATTATTCAAAAATTAAAATTAATGTTAAAATTTGTAATTTAAAAATATTTATTTGTATTACTCTATTCAATGTTCAGAAAACTGTGGAACCGTTTTGAGGGCCTGGTTGGACAACAGGTTTTCCGTCTTCAGGTAGAAAGAGATACAACTCAGTGTGCATCTAGTGTGTGCTCTTTAATATCAAGTGAAACCTCCATCTCCGAAAAAAACCAATCTGAGGCAAATGATAACCAATTACAAAGGAATTCAAATGCACTATGCAACATGGATATGGGACGGCAGCCCCTTTTCGGCAAGTCATTGTAGGAATGTTTTATTAAAAATAATAATGTGTAGATATGGTGTCAGTTTAACAAGTCTATAATTTGTTCTTTTAAAATCGTAAAAGAAACATTTTAAAATATTATTAAATGATATGATTGATCGATTGATATAATAAGAAAAATATAATAAATATGCTAGTATTACATGTCACCCAATCTATGGACATTTATCTCTGTATAAGTCCCTTTCACAAGTCCAATATTGAAATGGTAATACTGGAAGAGACTGTGATCAGGTTAGAAAAAAGGAAATAAGCAAAACAAAAATGGGAAAACCTGAAACAGAATGACGCAACAAAAAAAGAATGTTTTGGCAAGAAGCCTTCATCAGTAAACCAACAACAGTAAAAAGAGATTTAAATAAAAATTAAACTTAGCTGTAATGTAGTATCTGAGAGAGCAGCAAGAGGAATGTGATAAAACATAAGTAGGTGAGAGATTAAATACAGGCAAACAGGGACAAAAGAGAGGAAAAGTAAGTCCACTGTCAATGGTCGTAACGAGGAGGTAATGGATAAAAGGTTTAATGGGTGAATGATAACATGATATTCATGCCATGTGATGTCACGGTTCCATGCGTCTGGATCATCTTCTTTTCCAAATTAACTTAGTTTGGTGTGTTTGTACAGGACACGGCTGTAAAATCATCAAAGTCCCAAAGTGGGAGAGGGTGGCATTGATGTGATTTTGCACATGAAGCTTGTGCATAGTTTTATCACGTTTGAAAACAATGAGAGGCAGGGAAGAGAAAATGTCATGGGTAGGGTCGGCAAGGAGAAATCACCAGGAGAAATTTGTCTGATAAATATTGATCAATATCAATGAAATCTACATCTCTCTGCATCAACAGTTAAGCTTCTTGTCTCAGCTTTTCCTTGCTCCTTGTAAATTTCAGATATTTCTTGATTCATTTGAGTTTTGCGAAATTTTTTCTGAAACTGACAGTTGAAATAGTGAATGTTAAAACAATTATTATTGTTTCAACAAAGCTACTCAAGCCCTCTTCCACTCATAAACCCTCTAAAGCACATGTGTCAAACTCAAGGCCTGTGGGCCACATCCAGCCCGCCATACAATTATATCAGGCCCGTGAGGTCTTGACCAGCATACAATTATATCCAAGTCAACGCTATGGTGTTTCCCAATTCCACTTTGCTGAAACACTTAGCTTACTTAGCACCGAGTCAAGCTACCACAACATCTCATAAACTGATTCTCTCCCCACCGCTCAAGCAGACTTAGATAGGGAATCACAATTTGTGCTTTTTGTGGAAGTTCAAAAGTTCATTTCTGGGGAACCCTAGTGAATTATAATATCAGTTATATCTTGCCGGAAAGTTTTTTTTATTATCTATATCTTAGTATATTGTAAGTCTTTACGTTTTAGAGGATATTGTAATATTAAACAAATGAGAGCATTTTCATATTCAAACATGGGGTTCCCAACCCCTTCTATTTACTGTATCTCAATAATAATTTACTTATATAAAATAAAAACGTATCTTAGATAGCTGAGATTAAACGTGTAGAAACATATAGAAGTCTTTAGCGGATCTTGGTCTGGGGTTTCAATTATATTTTTTTAACTTTTTTTCTCACACATTTTTGGTATTGCTTCATTCATCTTTTAAAAAATACAACTATGTTTGTATTTTATTAAATCTGACACAAAAAAAGCCTTTTGAACCGGAAAAAATGTTAAGAAAATATGTAGCTTACTCAAAAGACTTAATCAATTTTCTTATGGCAGTGTTTATTGGAAAATTCAATCGATATATTTTTTAGAAAATTGTTCTTTGCATGACATGTTGGCCTTTGACAGTTTGAAATCAAAATTTAAAATTGTAATATGAGGTTGTGAAATACCTTTCCAACTTTGTCCATTCCAATGGACCAACTTATGCGGATCCGACCAACTAAATTATATATCATTTTGTGAAATCACAGGCTTGCCATATGTGGCCAGAAGCATGAATCCTCTTCTCAGCCTAATTGTATGTAACTTACGAGAAATGCAGACTGCTACCTCCCCTCATGATGCATTTGAAGCCTATGAAAAAGAAAAGGAAAACAAGCGAAATATGAACAGTCTGTCTAGTCATAATTGTCTTTGTGTCCAAAACTATTTACTCTTTAGTAAAGTTTGTGTAATTTTAAATCGATCGATCAATCTATCATTAAAGTTTTTTGCCTCACCATATTTATAAGCCTACCATGGGCTACTTCATTTCAAAAGCATACATTTCAATTACTTTAAAATATTTAAACTTTTAAAACTGAAAAAAAATATTTACCCTATAAATATGAAACCTGTAAAAAAAATATATTTCAATCATGCATATAGATTTTTAGTAAAACGAATAGACTGGCTGTATTTTAAAATCCAGGAGTTATTTGTTTTGTAGCTTTATTTTAAATTTAAATGTCATTGCCCATTTCACAGGAGTATATAAAAAGTCATTGATGCTTGAGAGTCAACTTCATCAATACATTAACCCTAGTCTTGTGACATCATTAAATAGACGGGCAGCCAAAGCCACTTCTGAAGCAGACCTCATGATTAAAATGATTGACAAATTACGAAGAGAAGGACGAAAAGTTTGTTTGGTTTTCTATATACATTAAGGGATTTGTTTGTCTAAACCAGGCCTACGCAACTCAAAATGTAAGGCGGGCCGTAATACTTTATGAAAAACGTGTGGGCGCCAAAAGAAAATAAGACAGGACTTGTGCGGGCCAAAAGAAAATTGGTCAGGGGAAAAGATATTAAGAAAATAATAACAATAAAGATCATTTTGTTACTTCGTGGGTCACAAAGTGGGTGCTGGCAGGCCGCATGTGGCCCGCGGGTCATATGTTGTGCAGGCCTGGTCTAGACAATTCTTGATGGTCAAAAAAAAATTGTGAGATTGTTTAACTTAACTTAGCAAACCAATTTTTTTTGTTATTTCATTACTGGTTTATTCATATCTTATAAATTAAGGCTATTCAAGTTATTGTAAAATAAACTTTTTAACCTCCCTTACCTTATTGTAATAATTTACTTTCCACCTTTCCTCTCACAAAGAAGCACACCACATTTAAATGAGGTTTTAATACAGTCCTCAAAGCTTCAAGAATTTTGGCCTTTCAGCAAATTTGTCAAGTTTAACATAAATTAACCAGAAGGGCAATCATTTAAAAATTTGTTCCCCCATTTTGATTTATTTGACATAATATTATGTTTTTGGAAAAATCATTACACTATTTGTATTTCTCTGTCATAATTTATAAAGTCAGCCAATGATATTGAAGCCAGAAGAAGAACCTGTGAGCTGTCAATGAAATTAAAATCATTACTTGGACGACAGAAGTGTGAATGGCAATGTGTTGGTAGACTCAAGGTCAGTGTGAAAATATAATGTTTAATCTTAGCTTTGAAATCATTAACTTGATTTTACTTATATTTTGAGACTTTTTAGATAAAGTTGAAGTCAAGGATCATATATTATATTATCTTCAGATAAAAGATAAACTTCAAGGTTTTTTTTATTTCCAGAGACAGTGTTTAAGCTCAGAATCTCATATTACATTAGAATTTTTATTCTGACATCATTATATCTTTATGCAGGAAACTCTGACAATGGCAAGGGAAATGAAGACCATGCTTAAGTTTATTTGTCAATTGAGTAGTTTGTTAGAACAAAGTGGAGATGCACTGAGGCGGTGCGTAATCAATACTTCTTTAAATCACAGAATATTGTTGTTTTTTTGCTCAAATATAGCTTAAAGGGTAGATTGCTTATGGAATTTAAACACATTGAGTTTGAGGAATATAATAAAGAGTTTGAGGAATTTAAAATAAACCGTATGAATAACCTTTTTTTAAAACAAAAGATTAAACCTTGCTTTAAGGGTATTTTTTAAAATAAAATATGTGTACATTTTTTTAATTAGAGATGAAGCTTACCCAAAGCCAGAAGGCTAAATTTAGTAAAGACAACAAATCACAAGTGTAATTAGGGTAGATTTAGATATTAGAAAATGTATTTTTCAGAGTTCTAAATTAATTGTTATTTAATTCTAAAAAATAACATCTGCATAGTGCAAACAATTTGTGAATAAATGATAAAATACAAAGATAAGATCATTAGTCTTGTATTACCTCAAAACTATATTCCCACATTTTTGTTAGTCGATATAGCTTATGTACTGACCTGATAGTAAATGTAAATAGTGGGTAGGTATATTTATATTATATTATATACCATTATTATCATTTATTATGTTACAAAAGAAACACATATTTATCTAAAATGGACTGTAAATAGTGTGCTTATATTTCCTTCGATGGGTCAAGCCAGAATTTTCTACAGCCCAAGATAAACCATTCTTATCTGGTCTGGGTCATAAAAATATTGTTATTGAGATTTTTCATAAATAATGCACCAGTCACAACACATTATCTTACTATATGATTCATTCTTAATTCATAGAATAAATGAAGGACCTCCTCCTTATGAGTATTGTAGCCCTTATGATGACTTACAGAAAGATTCATTTTCAGGCGCTGGGATGGTAGGTAAGATCAAATATATTTCCCTAATTTTCAGCATTTTGTGCTCAGTAGTCTCTAAAAGTTAAGAAAATGAACTAATCAACAGCCTATAAATCTTTAGAATCTATGTTTAGATGTAAAATAGGGTTGTTATTAAAATTCATATATAATAATTTAAAACATGAATTAGGTAATATACTGAGTTTTTTTCTTGTTCATCTCCTGTGAACTCTGTTTAAAATGAATTTTAATAAGTTCACATTCATCCTTGTTTTTATTCTTAGATTAAAATTGTAGCCTTATTACGAGTAAGCAAAGTTGCATGTGATTTTATGATGTGATGCACAATATATGCCTGATTGTGTATAATGAGAATTACTCTTTAAAATGTTGTGGGGGAAAAAAATTAAGCAAAGTTGACTGCACCTTTTGATTTTCATCATCAGGATCTCAAACTTTTAAATTTTATTTGTTAATCTCTTTACCTAGACAGTTCTGATGGTTTCCCACCAATGGGTGGAAGACTTCGACAGGAAACAGCTAACCAATATGCCAGACAATCACAGAGTGAAGTAACAGTTTCATTATCTCTGGACCTCATACCACAAGAAATGCACAGTCCTTCACATAGAAATAGTCATGTTAGGTGAGGACCTTGACACCAACTAATGATTTAAATAAGGATTAATTTTAATTATGGTTAGCTATAAAAATGAGAAAACATTCTTACTTGATAACTTTTAATGATACCATTACAAATTCACCAATACCCTTTTTATTCTGTTCAAGTATAACACAACACTTTATTAACAGCTCAACCAATTTTGTTGAAAAATTGCAGCACTCTTTCAGTCAGTAGCATATTTTAAGTGGTGTTAACAATTTACTGTTTCTTGGAAATTGACATAAATTCACTATAATGTGATGTCTCAACTGAAACATCATTCAATTCGTTACTTCTTCAACTTTTTTAGGTTTGAGGTCAAACTACTGTTACTACTTAATTGAACTGTTTGCCTCCAAACTTAAAAATCTTGAAGCAGTTAATGAATTGGATGATATTTCAGTCTCTTGTGCGGTCATATTAAGATGGTAATGCTAACTCTACTGTTATTATGCTTTTGAAATGAGTTAGCATTACAATCTTAATCTCACCACCAAAAGAGGCTTTTCCATAGCTGTGCACCCTAACTGCTGGTTTAAAACTGTCTTGATTAATACAAAACTCAGCAGAATGAATTTAGTTAGGTGCTGTATAAATAAAAAAATATGTCAGAAAGACATCTGATGCTTCCTTTGGTTATATATAGTACGCTACTATCTCTATGTCACATACAGGTATCTAAAATTGGAGTACAAATATTAAACAAGTCTAATTAAAAAATGAAAATGAACTTTTCAATTTTAAAAATGGAACATAAGAGGATATAATTTTCTTTAATCATTATTTAAAATTATAATGAATAGTCAGAATTCATCTAACGTTTTAAAACTAAATGCAGTTTTTGTATATAAAAGAGTTTCTTTAATCAAACACACACACCCATCCTACTCACCCCCCCGTAAATATTTAATACCCCACACTTTTAATATTTGCAAAATAAATAGTTTTTCGAATAATAAGTAATTTAGAGGGGGAAAATCTTAGTCTGTCAGTAACCTAAATAGCGTTTTCAAACATACAGGAACAAAAAGATGTATTGGAAAAGGGATACAGCAGACCTTAGTATTAGTGACTCAGAAATAGCAGCTCTCCCAGCCAACCGCATGAAAAAGACAAAGAGAAATTCAAGCAAGGCATATTCTCGACCTTTGCCAAGAGGACTTTGTAATGGGTAGTAACAGAAATTTCATTTTAATATTTGCAAATGATAACGTTTCAAAAGGAATTTGAATTCCTAGAGCCTATTGGGCCATCCATAAATGACATCATGCTTTTTTGGCAGATTTTTCAGCCTCTGTTCCCCAATATTCAAAAAAATTTCAATAAATTTAGACACCCTAATAACACTGTCATTTATGGATGACCCCTATTGTAAAAATTCTGTTTTCATCAGCTACAGAATAGTTAAAATTACTTGATAAATATAAAGTATACAAATTATTAAAAAAAGAGGAATGTACAGAATATTTCATTCTGGATTAGATGTATTAAGGAATTCAGTTAGCTTTTCATAAATATACCCAGTAAGCATAGTAAGACTGCATAATAAGATCTCTTAACCGCATGGGGATTCTCTGCAAATATGCATAATACAAACAGAATGCTATATGTACAAGATCTTTAAGGATTTACTGAAAAATTAATCTAAATGTCATACTTTCACTGTTTCTGATTATATCATATATGATTAGACTACAGTGACATCTATTAGTATTTCACAGAGTTATAAAAAGACCCAATTAAAAGTAACTCTGTTTAAAAAGACAATAAAATTAATTTGAAAAGGAATGTCCTTTTATACACCTGAATGAAATGGTTTTTTTGCCTGATGTAAATCTGTCAAGTACTTTTTTTGCCTGCTGCAAATACAAGTACAGTGATATTTTAGATCAAAGATACCTAAAATTCATGGTACTTTGTTATTTAATTATTGGAAACATACAGTAGAAAAGCATATTATTTTACCAGACTTAAAACATTACAAGTTTTAAATCTATTTCAAATTGTACAATTTTAAATGGCATAAATTTATGGTGTGTTTAAATCATAATTATTTTAAGCTTTGGAACCCTGGATGTTGAAGTAGAATCTCACACGTCTTGTCGAGACCTTCTTGAGGAGGCCAAACGCCTTAGAAAACAAAGTCTCCATGCAGAGGCAAAAGCTAGAGATAGACAATCGGGATCAAGAACTTCTCGTCAAAAAAGATCAGCGCCAACTTTGAGAGAACGGTCAACATCACCAGCTTCACCTTATCGAAGATACAGATCCACCTCACGGGGCTCACATTCTCGAAGATGCAGATCAACATCACCTTCACAACCACGATACACATCAGCTTCACGAAGATCTAGATCTCAATCATTATCCCCTAGGGATCGATCACCAGTACGGCGACATGAGTCTTTATCTCCTCCCCAAACAAGAGGTGAGAAAAAAAGCAGAGACCATGGTAAACGAGAAAGATCCCCATCACCTTGCAGGCCAAGAGGGGAGTCTCTGTCCAAAGGTCAAGCAAGAGGTCGATCCCCATCCCGTCAATCAAGAGGTGAGTCTATTTCCAAAGATCAGTCAAGAGGTCGATCTCCATCACCATCACTTCGCCAATCTAGAGGAGAGTCTTTTGCCAAAGATGAAAGAGGTCGCTCTCCATCCCCATCTTTTCGCAAATCTAGAGGAGAGTCTTTAGCCAAAGATGAAAGAGGTCGCTCTAGATCCCCATCTTTTCGCAAATCTAGAGGAGAGTCTTTAGCCAAAGATGAAAGAGGTCGCTCTCCATCCCCATCTTTTTGCAAATCTAGAGGAGAGTCTTTTGCCAAAGATGAAAGAGGTCGCTCTCGATCCCCATCTTTTCGCAAATCTAGAGGAGAGTCATTAGCCAAAGATGAAAGAGGTCGCTCTCGATCCCCATCTTTTCGCAAATCTAGAGGAGAGTCTTTTGCCAAAGATGAAAGAGGTCGCTCTCCATCCCCATCTTTTTGCAAATCTAGAGGAGAGTCTTTTGCCAAAGATGAAAGAGGTCGCTCTCCATCCCCATCTTTTTGCAAATCTAGAGGAGAGTCTTTAGCCAAAGATGAAAGAGGTCGCTCTCGATCCCCATCTTTTTGCAAATCTAGAGGAGAGTCTTTAGCCAAAGATGAAAGAGGTCGCTCTCGATCACCATCTTTTCGCAAATCTAGAGGAGAGTCTTTAGCCAAAGATGAAAGAGGTCGCTCTCCATCCCCATCTTTTTGCAAATCTAGAGGAGAGTCTTTAGCCAAAGATGAAAGAGGTCGCTCTCGATCCCCATCTTTTTGCAAATCTAGAGGAGAGTCTTTAGCCAAAAGCCAGCCAAGAGAACGAACCCCATCGCCTCCCAAATCAAGAAAAAGTGGGTCAAAGGACATTGACCAGAAAAGAGGTCGAGCAGAATCCAAATCCCAAAGAAGAAGTTCAAAATCTGAAGACATTTTACATAAAGACGAATCTCCAGAACCATCACCATCAGATGACATGTCACCTAAACACAGAGTATCAGAGCAAAGATCAGAGAGGAAAGAATCATCTACTAAAAGCAGATGCAGGAGCACCAAAGGACATGGAGGGAGTTGTAGAGACAGCTCAAAATTGTCAAAACAGAGTCTTAAAGAGCTGGCAGCGGAATGTGTAGAATTATTTAAGCAACAGAGAAAGAAATCGCACTCACCAAAAGTCTACTGTCATAAGAAGATAAGCTCTGGGAAATGTAAGGAAACAGCTTCACACCACCATGGCCATACATGTAAGAAGAACCGGGCATACTCTAGTCATAGATGTACCAAGTGTCATTCGCACTGCTTTATAACCTGTAAACCAGTGAGCACCAGCAAAGCTTCATGCAAAGAGAGTACAAAAGATCTGTCTGACGATGAGAGCTATAAAAAACATATTCCTGTGTCCACCCGCTCTGCAGATAGAGGAGAGAGTAAGAAAAGGCATTCCAAGAGTGAAAAGAGGCAGAAAAAAAAGAAAGAATGCAGCCATAAATGCTGCAAACATAAATCAACTGTGGAGGCAGATAAATGTGCACACAAGCGAGTGTCATCAACAACCCCGGCAGGGTCTGTGAATAAATTCTACATGCAGCGCATGAACAGTGTTGATTATTCAGGTTCCCGCGAGCCACTGTTGTTTTCCTCAAGGGAAACTGAACTGAATTTTCAAGATGATTACCTGTCCTTTCACTACAAGGGGCCTATATTGTGCAAGCCTGATAAGAAAAAAAGCAGCCACAACGTTCATTGTTTGCAAGCAGTGGAGAGGTAATTTTATACATTTAATATTGAAATGAATCATTTAGGAAAGTTAGATGCTTTAACTAGGTATCACACAGGTACAATTTTTAAGTGGAAAAGCTCAACAAATTTATTAACCCCCTCGAGTCCTGTCCCCCCTCTTTCCTTACACTTACACAGTCTTTGTGCTAGGCAGCATAGATGCCCTAATTCACAAGTACGGTATCTTGAAATTCTACAGGGTTAAAGTGGATAATTTTTTTGTACCTTAGTCTGATTCACTCCCCACATCAGGCATGTAGATGACTGCTCTATAAATAGGCTTGTGATAGCTTGGATGCAACAGTTTTCTTAATTTTAGAAACACTCTTTTTCAATTAGAAAGCATATTATGGGCAGCTGTAGTCATTTTCTCTATTGTTACATTCATTGTCACTGGCTTAACCAACTGTTAGGAGTTGCCTTTTCAAGAGTTAAAGTTCTTACATATACTACTATGCTTCTGGTGGACTGCTTCCATTCCCGGCCATTTCCTAACAAACTGGCTACTTCCTATTCAGCGTATTTGGTGCTGATAATATTTTCTTAGCTTTTGCTTTATACTTTATGCTTTGTATTTTGTGACATATATTTGGGTATAGGAAATGGCTTTAATGTTATGTTTTTGCAGGAGCAGCAGAGATGGGGTAGTTAGTTATGGTGTGTAAGTAATGGGGTTCTTTAGTTAATAAAGAGACGTTTGCTAGATGAATCATTGGTTTGTAGAATAATTATTAAAATGAATTACATATAATTCTCTATGTTTGAAAGAAAGTATGGTACAATAGTGAGTTCAATATAGCGCAAAATATAATATTTGGTTTAAAAGTGGATGGGATATCAGAATATTAATTAAGTTCATGGGCGTGAAATAAAAAGTGTGCAGTGACTTTATAATGGAGGGGAAAGGATGTAGCAAAAATTTTGATTCTTTAATGTGTGTTACTTGGGTACATGTTTTATCAAGTAGCTTTAGTAGGTGGAAAGTTCATGCATTGATGTCGCCAATTTTTGGAGAGCTATAACTAGTACAGGAATAAAACAGATTTTGCTTCCAGATTATAGGCCATTTCAGAAGCATTGCCTAGAATGGTCCACATACCCCTCAGGAGTGCTTTGACTTTGTCTAGTCTAGCCTGTTACTTTCACTTCAAGCATCCTTTAAACTTCCTGTTATTGAAACTTTTAAAAATGGGTCTCTCTGTCATTTATTCAGTTACGTTTTCGGGATTCCTGTTTACTTACTTCATATTTCATCACAAAAGTCTTCAAGATCTCACCATACTTGTGATGTATATTTTGTGTAAAAAAAAAACATAAAACAAACAAATACTAAGAGGAAGTTCTGGATTTTGAGTGTTAATTCTAGAAATTAAATTTGTCTTTTATTCTTATTTCTTTATTTACTTATCAGTCATTCCTTATAAAAATATCTTTATTGTGAGACCATTTCCTTATTTTGTCAAAGAATAATTTTTATTTAGGTAGCCGATCAAAAGATATTAGAAAATATAGTTTCATTGTGCAGACTATAATTTTCCTTTAAGCTCCAATATACTTAGAGAGTTCCTCAAAGTTCTTTAAAAAATATTTCCCGCACTGTAGACCTCAAAATATACTTAATTTATTGAAAACTATAACTTATATCATAAATTATCTTTCATTATTTTTCACTGGAAAATAATTATTTGATTATCGCCTTAGGTGTATAAAAAATTTTTTTTCTAAAATTGAGGCTTTAATTTTAAAAACTTAATTAAACTGTCTATTTTTTTCAGTCCCTATAAAGTTGTCAAAGATATATGTCAGGATAGCCAAGAAACTTGCTGCTCTACAAATTTAGCTGAGCCTATTGATTTAGAACAATGTCAACAATTCTTGTCTGATGCAAGGTAGCCTTGTGTGTCTGAGCTTTTTTAAATTGTATTAGAAAAATTATTTTGTATTAATTTTAAAAATTTAGAATGTTGATTTCAATATTTAATTGTTTTTATAGAAATAAAAAGATTTTAAAAATACAATGTTTCACAGATTAAAAAATTTTCTGTTTTACTCATAAATAGATTGATTATATAATCAATCATTTCATATATATATAGAACATGCATAGATATTACCAATGTAAATATGTATCTTAAAAAGTTTAGATTTCTGCCGCAAAACCACCTATTTGTAGATTGAAATACAGATGAATCTTAAAATGATAACAACTTCTCAATCTAGTTAAGTCTTAGATGAATATAAACTGATTATAGAGGTCCTGCACTATGCAATTAACTCTGCCAGTGTAACTGCACCTGTGCTTAGAGGGAATGAAAGTACTATATGTGGCTGTCAACAATTTTTCAAGATATTTCAATTTTTTTTTTATTAAAAAAATTTTCAAACCAGAGTACATGGAACATAGAGCTCTTAAAATTGAAAAAAAAAAATGTCACATGCTACACAGAAACACAAGACAAAGAGTATGCTTACCCAAGGATTCCTTCTTCTGTACAGGTTTTACCTAAAAAAACGGAATTACTGGCTGTTCATTATTTGCTTGAACATGTTTTCTTTGTTCATACTTGTTAACTTTATTTCCCGGTAATTTAGATGTGGACTATATGAATGTGTGTGAGGATTTATCATTTTAATTTTAAGAGAGAGAGATTGTTTAATCAGGTGTATGCAAAATAGGTTGGTAAATACCAACTTGAATATAAAAAATAAAAAAATTATTTTAGGAAATGGTAATAATATATTTTTTCTCCTTTCTCCAGTGTTCAATGTAAAATAACCAAAATCACCATGCAATGCACAAGAGAATGTAGACAGCCTTGTTGTGTCCACACCTGTGGGGATTATGTTGCATCAGAACTTGTGAGACCAACAGATAAAAAGTGTTTAGAAAAAGCTTACGAAAAACAATGCAAGGACAAGAGACGAAAATCTAGGTCGTATCATGTTCAGATCGAAGATTCTTCAGGTGATGAATGCAAAGCCTCATCTTCCGAGGGAAGCCACCACCTATCACCTGATTTGTCTGAGATGCCACTGCTGGTTAGCAGTGGGGAAGATTCCCTATCCCGTGATGAAACAGAAATGACACATTCCCACATTCAGACTTGTCCACCACCTGGAACTGAAGACTTTTCAGATGCTACATCACCAGACCAGACAGAAGAAGTCTCTCAAAAGCAGTCTTCGACTGAATGCAGCTCAATCACTACCGGTACTCATTCATTAGGTGACAGTGTTTTAATCACCTCTAGAAAGTTGTCAGCAGAAGAAGCTTCTAGTGAGCCCTCCATATCGCTTACTCAAGAGACATTTCAAAAAGTATCAGTTTCACCTCCTTCATCACCTGAAGAGGTCTCTCGTCAACCTTCTCTTATTCGCTCCAAAAATCCATCACCTGAAGTGTCTGTACAGCTAACTCGTCACTCATCTCTAAAACGGCCTTCTAGCATTCCTTCTATGATTCCATCCCCAGATAAATCTGTTCCACTCAGTCGGCAGTCATCTTTAGAACGACGTTCAATTACTTTTTCAAAGGAACCATTTATAATTATAGCATCTGCTGAACCCTCAATCATATCGTCTAAAAAACCATCCCTGGAACTCTCCATGAAATCATCTATAACAGCATCACCTAGGGACTCAAGAAAATCATCAAAAGAAGAATGTCAAGAGCCTTCTGAAACTTCTTCCAGAAAATCATTACAGGAACTCTCAAGAAAATCTTCTAAAACAGTATCACCTGAACCCTCTAGAAAATCTTCTAAAACAGTATCACCCAATCCCTCTGCAAAATCTTCTAAAACAGCATCACCCGAACCCTCCAGAAAATCTTCTAAAACAGTATCACCTGAACCCTCTAGAAAATCTTCTGAAATAACATCACCTGTACTTTCTAGAAAATCTTCTAAAACAGCATCACCTGAATCCTCCAGGAAATCTTCTAAAACAGCATCACCCGAATCCTGCAGGAAATCTTCTAAAACAGCATCACCCGAACCCTCTAGAAAATCCTCTAAAACAGCATCACCCGAACCCTCTAGAAAATCCTCTAAAACAGCATCACCCGAACCCTCTAGAAAATCCTCTAAAACAGCATCACCCGAACCCTCTAGAAAATCTTCTGAAATAGCATCACCTGTACTTTCTAGAAAATCTTCTAAAGTAGCATCACCCATAGTATCTAGAAAATCTTCTAAAATAGCATCAGTTATACTCTCTAGAAAATCTTCTAAAGAAGCTTCTCCAGAATCTTCTAGAAAACCATCTCTGGAACTCTCCAAAAGGTCTTCTCAAGAGACTTCTGTAGAGCATTTACCACCAACTGGGCAAACCTCCCTTGAACAGCACTCCAGTGGCTCTAAATTATCCTCACAAGAATACCCCCCACAGCTAAGCCGTCAGTCTTCCTTAGAGAAACCTCAAAGCATCTCAAGAAAACCATCTCTTGTACCTACAGAACCTTCATCTGAGCCACACTCTAAAGCCTCTTCTAGAAAGTCATCGGGGCATTCTTTACCGCCATCCCGAAAATCTTCCTCTGAACAGAGGTTAGGCTCTTCTAAAATATCAACTCCTGAACAATCAAAACACACAAGTCCTCAAAAGTCACAGGAAGAATTTCAAGATCAAACTACCCCATCTTCGTCTGAAGAAATGTTATTGCCAGTAGAATCTTCTTCATTCCAAAACACTGAGCCATCTTTAAATGATCAGCGCCAAAGTCATCCTCTGTCTGCAGACATGAGTGAAGTCTCTCCTGAACCTGAATCGCACCCGGCCTATCCAGACCAGTCATCTGAAACATCAGAGGAGCCACAGATTTCTCCTGTTAGAAGACCTACACCCGAACCTAGAAGTCGTGCCCCTTCTTTAAGTGCACATGTTGAACTGAAGGACAAGCCACCCATTTCCCCTCATCGAGCTTCCAACCACGAGAACCAATCTCGTTCATCTTCTCTGAAGCCAATAGTTGAATTACCAACACCCTTATCTGGATCTCGCCCATCTACCCGAATTTTCGCTGGAGATTCTGCAGAATCTTCACCGGATATCTCTCAAAAACTATCTGAAACCGGGCCAAGTGAACCTAATGAAGAAAGAAAAAGTGAACCGAAAGAAGAAAGAAAAAGTGAATCAAAAGAAGAAAGAAAAAGTGAACCGAAAGAAGAAAGAAAACGTGAATCAAAAGAAGAAAGAAAAAGTGTATCCAGTGAAGAAAGAAAAAGTTTACCGGTAACCAGTGAAGAAAGAAAAAGTATGCCCAGTGAAGAAAGAAATAGTGTACCCAGTGAAGAAAGAAAAAGTGTACCCAGTGAAGAAAGAAATAGTGTACCCAAAGAAGAAAGAAAAAGTGTGCCTAAAGAAGAAAGAAAAAGTGTACCAAGTGAAGAAAGAAATAGTGTACTCAAAGAAGAAAGAAAAAGTGTACCAAGTGACGAAAGAAAAAGTGTGCCTAAAGAAGAAAGAAAAAGCGTACCCAGTGAAGAAAGAAAGAGTGTACACAATGATGAAAGAAAAAGTGTACCCTATGAAGAAAGAAAAAGTGTACCCAATGAAGAAAGAAAAAGTGTATCTAAATCACCTCCAAAGAGAACTTCAAATATTGCAATCCATTCACCTCCTGCATCAGAATCTGAATCTTCACAAGACTTATCTCAAGAATCTGAAAGTTTGCCAATTATAACTCACGATGAAAGAAAAAGTGTACGCAGTGAAGAAAGAAAAAGTGTTTCATCTCTGAAGAGGTCGTCGAAAAGTCCCACACGATCACCTCCTGCATCAGTGTCTGAATCTTCACCAGGGACATCTCGAAAAAAATCTGAAAGTTTGCCAATTGAAACACACGAAGAAAGAAAAAGTGTCCACAAATCACCTCTTAAATCTGCAACAAGCTCAGCCCCTCCCTCCAGATCACCCTCCATCAGCCCTGAAATAACAAGAAATTCTGAAACATCAATGAAATCAGAATCTCAAAAGCGGAAGCCATCCTCAGCTTTTAAAAAATCTACACAAATCCAGAGGTAACTTATGAAAATGTTTTATTTTATTTTTACTTACTTCCTTAGTTGAAGATTTTTAATTTTACCTTAAGTGTTAGGTCATCATGTTATTTTTATTTTATTTTTTAAGTTGACTTTGAATGCATCTTGATCTGAAGTAGCAAAGCTCATCACTCCAAACAAAAATACATCCATGCTCCAATCTTAAGTTAGACTATGATAACATAAAGTTATTGTGATAGTTAAAGCCAATTCCTGGTGTTCATCTGATGATTTTACGTAATTTGTCCCATATAGCACAGAAACCATGCCTGATGTATCAGATGAAAGTGATGAGATGGTTGATGACATTCAAGAGGAAGAAGAAGCTACTCACCAAAGGAGACCGACTGGGAAACTTGCAAAATCGCCAAAGCAAACTCAGGATGATAATACAAGTACAGAATGATTTCATAGCTAAAATGTAAAATCGTGATCTTACCCGAGTAGCTATTCCACGGGAAGAATCCCTTGGTTGAGAGGAAGATGCTAGGTTATCACTATCACCCATTGTCTTCATTTATGCACTGATACTTATCAAAGAAAAAAAATGTACCACAGACTATTTGCCTGTTATTTGTGAACAGTCTGCATTTTAAGTATAATAATAATTGGGGAAAGGCAGAGTTTAAATCATCTAGTATTATATTTTTATTGTCTTAATATTTGTTAAGTGTAGTCAGATGACAATGGCCATAGCATCAAAATTCCAACTCAGAACTTACACATTACAAGTAGTCTTACAAACTTTTCCATTGCTCACTTCCATTTTATTACAGTGGCTTACAAAAAAAAGTTTTATCATAATAATAATAAAATATAAACCATTGTCCTTATATCTTATGTGCATAAAAATTCACTTAACAATTATAATTTTAAAATCCTATTAACTCTTTGTAGACCAAGTCAAACTATTCTTACTCCTTTCTCCTCGGCTCTGTTAAAACTATATACAATACCGTATCAATTTTTCGTTGATAGTTACCAAGAGTAATCTAATCCAATGCTTTAATTTTATTTGCAGGAAGCCCGTTCAAGTGGTGGAAGGTTCTCCTACTTGCCTTGATCCTGTTTTTAAGTCTGTATTACACATACTGCTACCTTGTCCTACCCATTTGTACTTATTGCAATTTTCCTTTACCCAATATATTTTTCTACATCCTGAACTCCATAGTACATTCCGTCCGTCTCATCCATTCTTCACCAGCACCAGTTTAAGCAGGTTGAATAAGACATAACAGTAACACTTAGTGACAGTAATAATTAGATAACGTGACGGTCTCAAGGGTTTCTGTATTTTTCAATACCGTAAAAAAACACAAAAAAACATCGCCATCACAAAAATATGAATGGCAAAGTCACCCGGTAGCAGTCAACAGGTTTTGGGCTTCATGCATGCAGATATTCTATACTATAATGTGATCTTTAACTTTTAAGTAGTTTAAGGTTGTGAAAAGTACCAGGTACAGCAAAATTTAAAGCTGTTAATTATATTTGCATTTTATCACAAATAAATGTGTATACACATCGTTATATAAATAATATCTATAAATATATATATGATTACAACTGACAGTATAGTTTTTTAAAATTAAATTTAAACTAAATCACTATTACTTTTGATTGTTTAATAAAAATTTGGAAAATAATGAATTTGTGTATATTATTTTTGTGTCAGTTTTATTGATTTTTATTTTCTATTGAAAAAAAATTAGGAAAAAAATTCATGACAACTAGAAGTGAACAACTAAAACGTAATCCTTTTACAAAAGCTAATAAAGTCAACAGCGGATAAAAGCCAATGAGAATTGCTAAAAAATATTTTACTTCTGGGTTTGTGAGGAGAGTATCCTTTCATGGAATTTCCCACTTCTTTTTTACCATAGTCAGTGTAGCTGTACAAGGGATGGAGCTCAGACTCCTGCCCTACTACCAATAAGTAAAACCTGTAGAATAGCACACCACCTCTGACATTGGTCCATCTAATTGGAAGGAAAACTTCTGCTGCCTTCACCAGCTTCAACCGATGGAATAAATCAGGTGGCAGGTTGATATGAGTGAACAAATGGAAGATAAAGCATAATTTAAAAATCAAATGGAAACTTTGAAAGTATTAAATAGCATCTTCAGTGAACATCAATTAAGATAAACTAATTAAAGGATACAGGAGAGGTTGAGGTTAGTGATAGTTGAAAGCTGACAAGAATGATCCATATTTGAATGTAAAAATTGTTTTTTTTTACAAAAAGATGAGGTACAATTTCCATAACCATCAAAATTATTTGCAGCATATGAGAAGATAATGAAATTTTTCCCACAGCCTCTCTCTTGCTGTGACATTCTGACATAACAGGCCCACTTGCTTATTACAAGAGAAAGTCAAGTTTAGCTAAGTGATCAACTCCAGCAGAGAAGCGAGATGTGATTATGAACCCAGCATAAAGACTTTATCTACCTAATGACCAGCAGCTCGAGGAAAGGAAAGACATGACGTACAACCCTTTAATAAATAAAATTAATAAAACCTACATTCCAACCCGCAGACACTGAATGAGGCAAAGATTCTTAAATTATGGTGTCATAATTATGAACCCAGCTTAAAGACTACATGAGGAAAGGAAAGACACAGCCTCTAAATAAAATCCTAAAACATACATTGCATACACTGTAAGGGGAAAAGTATCTTAAATGGAGTCAGAACCACTGAAGATCTGCACTCTATGCACCCTGTGTCAGTTGCGTCCTCAAAAGAACAGCCTATGCCGTAGCAGTCTCTCTAATAGTACTAATACAATCAAGTTTGGATCACTGTAACAGTTGTCAGGGGGGTTTACCTCAAAACCAAATTCAGAGACTCCAGAAGATACAAAATACTGCAGCACACTCTGTATCACAGATAAAGGAATCTGACCACATCACCCAAATATCTCCACTGGCTTCCAGTTCCAGTGAGTGAGCGCATTAACTGGCAAGGAAGGCTCTGCACTTGAATATCTTAAAAAGCTTATTTAAAAAAATGTATCTTTGAAGAGGGTCAGGCTTTTGAATAGCGACTAAATTATGGAAGTTTGCCTCAGTCTTTGAGGGACTTTAAAGAATCTACTGCACACACAAAGCAATTAACAGAGCAACACTTCAATTGCTTATTTCATTGTAAATATAAATGTATCACTAGATCACTGTGTGGAAGTCAAAATTTTAATGTTTAACTGTCCTGTATTAAAGTCAGCACACCTTACATATAAATCAAGTTAACAACAACTTTTAGATTAATTATTTTACTTTATTACAAATTTGTTTTTACAAAACTCTACCATTTGATTTTTCATAAAATATTTTTTCTAAGATTCCATAACTATTAAATTCCAGCTTTTATTATTTTTTTTTTCATTGATATACCAAGAATTATGTTATCATATGAGAAGGTCATTTCAGTTTAGACAAATTCTATGATTCAGTAGTAGAGGAATATTGATCTGTTTTGGTCTAATCAAAAGACCAGGCAAACTAAAGAACTTGTACAAATTTAAAATTGCAGCGAAAACCCATGTCCGAGCATATAACTTAAATTTTAAATGAGTTGGAGATTTGGCGATGATACCTCTAAAGAAAATTTGACACTTAGAATAAATTGCTGTGAAAATGATACAGTGGAACTCACGACAAAAGGAAGTCTCTTCCTCTCAGAATTTCATTTGAGTTGCGAATGTTGGATGGTCATTTTAAAACAAATGGAATCCACTTAATTATTTCTTTAAGATGATGTTATCACTACGGTAACATATTAAAACCAGCATAGACCAATGCAAGTTGATTTATCTAACTTTTGAGTTGATCGGAATGCTTTATAACTTTAAGAGATGACATTCACACAGGCACATTAAATAATATATTCACTCTCATGTTAATAGATAACTTAAATCAGCAACATATAGTTTTATTTTAATATCCTTTTGTCATCACAACGCATCTCAGTTGCTTAAAATTAATTCTTCCTGACTGACCCAGAAGCTTTCAAGATGTGATATTGTAACTCATGTTCACAGAATTTATGTTCCTCATTTCTCCATAACTTGATTGTATCCGAGTTCCACTGTATGTATTTTAGTATGGTTAAAAATAAAATATGTTGCTTTAGGCTAGAATTTCAACAACATATAAATTGTTTACATACATACCTTCTAAACTGTATTTACGTAGTGAGTTATACAATGCTTAAGAAATAAGTTTCAAAATAAACATGACAAAAAGACACAAAAAAAACTCTTAGATGATGACTTATGAACGGCAACGAATAAACATAAACTTAAAAAGTGGACAAATGTAATTTGGAATATTATAATAAGGGACAGGACATAAGACTAAGTATATTATGAAATGGTTTACCAAGAATACAACTCTGATGCATAAGGTTTATGGTGCTTTGAATTTATCACGATAAATACAAAGTGAAATGAATAACTTACAAAGCATAATATAGTACATAAAAGTGTATCATATCTCCACAGGAATCAGAATCATGCAGTTTAGGTGGAGATGATGTCATTAATATTTAGTTAGTACTGACACACATATGCACAGAAGTGAACAGTTTTTGAACAATGAAATCATTCTGTAGGGCATATATAACACTTATGGATGAACAAATCTGAGGAAATACTCATGTTAAATTCCAAAATCCTTTTGAATTAGCCATGATTTTTATCTCAATTATTGTGGCCATTAGACTACAACAGCAAAAAAAATGCACTGAAGGATGAAACTGAAGTTTGAAAACATTAAGATTGTATGAAAATATTAAATTTTCGGACACTTGTTGTTGCACTCTAAATTAAATCTGTCTTTGCTGAATGTATGGGCCAAACTGAGGGCTCACCCCCCACTTTCTAAAGCAGATTAATCTTGGGATGCATAACATTAACATTTTTGTTTTAATCATTTATTTTTCATGTGGTAACCAAATGTACAAGTTAAGAGAAAGTACAGACATGCTCACAGACAACTTGCAATTTATTTACACAATATAATATATATATATCATTATTTATATGTTTGAATAAAAATAGCTCTGGAGCAACACTTTTTAAACCTACTGAATTTCTGATTTTGTTCTAGCATATTTTATAATTGTAAATGGATAAATTGAATGGAGCATGCATAATTTACACAATAAGCATGAACAATGTGAGCAGATTGCTTGGACCCCTTCGGGAAATAAAAATGTATACACTGCAAAAAGACTTCATTTTTTTTTTTTTTTTTTTTTAAAGTTAACAACCATTAGGAAATAAACAATTTTAGTACCATTTAGTTAAGATGGAGATCATTTAATAAAAATTCCTGGAGTAAGGGTTGACTCAGAATAAATAAATAAAATAGAGAATCTCAACTTTCCACGCTTATTTAATTAAGAGCATGCATATTTTTTTTCCCTTTATATATTTTAAAATAGCTAAAAAGCTTAGGTGGTGCAAATTATGTATTCAATTAAAGAAGGTGAAAAGGGGAGAAAAAAAAATTGGCAGAAAGATTGGGTTTAATTTTTTTTTAAATAAATTTTCTTTTACTTTTGACTGGTCTATGGATTTTCAGAAATAGAAAAATAGTATTGTAGTAACTTTGAAAAGAAACTGCAATCAATCCAAATGTAAAGAATAATCCCCCTTAAACTGCACTAACTAGTGGCAAAAATGTTATTTGTGCAATTTAAAATGGCAATAAACAGAAAATATAACTCATAGTTTGAAATATGCTTGTGAACAGAGAGAATAATTACAAAACATACAACTCCAGAATGCATCCAATCCAACTTTATGACTGCTATATCAAACAGCTCCATAATAACTTATCATCCAACACTATATGCACAAATAATTGATCCAGGGTCTTGAATAACAGACATTCACATTGTGTTAGCTGGTTTGCATACCTCCCACCAACTAGTTTCAAAGCCTTAACATGGTTAAACACTAACATTAGTCTCCAGTCGTGAAAGCATTGAAAAAAATAATTAATAGCATGTGACTATTTCAAAGTGATGTTACTATTGCGACCTGCCAGTTTCACTTTATAAAATGAGGCACTTCTTTTTCTTGGGTGGCTCAGGTGGCTCCAGGGCTGCTAGAATAGCTTCATCGAAGACATTCTTCAATCCTTTCTGAAATATTTAAAAAAATTTAGGTCAGATTTGAAAAGAATAATAAACAAAAGTAGCACAAAACAAGTTATCATAAAACTTTCTTTTTTTTAAAAACGTAATACCTTTTTAAAATTATGAAATATTATTGTGGAGGTTAATTAATGAATACATATAATAAAATTCTTAGTCAGCAATAATCACATACTTCTTTCACAAAATAAGATTAATAGAAAACCAAACAACATCCAAGCAAAAACAAACCTGTGTCAGTGCTGAGCACTCCACATATTTGACAGCCTTAAGTTCTCTGGCCAATCTCTCACCATTATCAGATGAAATGGGCTTCTGCTTATTTTTGGCAAGTTTTTCAACTGTTGTGGCATCATCCCTCAAATCTATTTGTGTTCCAACTAGTAGGAATGGTGTTCTTTGACAATGATGTGTAATTTCTGGTACCCACTGCATTTGAAGATGAAGCAAATGTATATAGTTAAAGCAGCAAGAAAGTTTTAGCTAACCTAATATTTTTTAAATATTATAATGTGCCAATCAGATAAGTCAAGATTAAGCTTTAAGTCTATTAGTTAGTCAAAATTGACATTTGGTCTGTGTTAGAATGAGTTATAGTCAAAACACTAGACACTGGACTGCAAGACATCAACTATGTTTATGATTGAAAAAAATTATTTAAATTATTCATAAATAGGAAGTGTGAATGATATCACTTAAGTCAGTCAGTAATAAAATAAACATCCCTCCTTTTGTGCAAATTTAAACAAGAAATATAATTTCTGTGGGTATCCTTTTAATAACTGTTTAAAAAATATTTAATTGAGTTTTCAGATACCATACCAAAGCAGATTAATTTAAAGAAAGGAAATCAAATCTGCTTCAGTACGGTAATTGAAAACTATTGCACGAAAAGGAATAATTTAAATTTAAAAAATCAATTTCTTTTCGTGCAATAGTTCAATTAAAAGGTTGATGTTGAGGTTTAAGTTTAATGCTAATCTATATATGTTAACATCGTTTATCAGTTTTATAAAGTCAATTTTAAAGATTATCAAGTTCTATTAGTCTCCATAGAATCCCCTCTGTCAGACAATGCTCGCTTAGTTGGCCGCATAAAACATCATGCTGCTAAGAGTTCATTTCTGTGATAAACTGGTGATATCTGGTTTCATTATTTGTCAGGAAAATGGTGCGTGTCATTTCTAAAAATAGATGAGCTTTTAAATTTTACACTATTCTACCATAGATACTGTTAACAAGAATCATTGACATATATTATGTCCTCGCATAAGAAATCAGCGAGGACAACAAATGTTATATTGTGATACTGGAAATGGGCGTCTGCATCTTAAAATGATAAAAACAATCAAATTCAATTACTCTTTTGTAAAAAAAAACAACAACAGATGAAAACAACAGTAGAAAAACCAATAACTTAAAATCTGATTATATAACATCCTAAATATAATCATCCTTATTAAAAAATTTCTCCAGCTGAAAGCTTTCAATTACATTGCAAAAAAAAATTAAAGAAATAAAATTTTTCCTTAAAACAAGTGTATGGAAAGTTCCTAATGTAGCAAATAGGATAGATAAAGACTCTAATCCCATCATCTGTCTAGAGTGTAAAATGAGAAGTCATAGGTTTGGCATTTAAAACTGACTGGCGTATTAAAAAAATTTGATTACTGACAACAGTAATATAAAAAAAAATATTGCTGCTTTTAATTTTTAAAAGGCTTTTTAAATGTTGGTGCAGGGTTATTGGGTTCCTGTGAACAGGTCTTTGACCAGGAGGATGGCATGCACAATAATTAGCTGAATTAAATAGTGTTTGATCTGTGACAAAAACAAGCGTTGATCTAAAAAATAATTTTTCCAATGTTTTCTAGTTCAATATACTTGTTCAATATGTAAGAAGCAACAATATGAATGAAGCATTACAAACCCAACCTGTACGTGAAAGCATGAAACTTTTAGTTACGAGAAGTTTAATTTGTTTTTCCCCTTAAATGAAAACTCCCAAGTCCATGCAGACTTACACAAGAAATGTTTTTAAAAGGGAATAATTCTAAAATGAATATTGTAACAAAAATTTAAAAAAAAATTATACAGTGAGAAGCTGACATTCAGAAAAACCTTGTCTTTCCATAACTTTTGACCTACCTTTTCTCTAACATTTTCAAACGATGATGGAGAAACTACTGAGAAACACACTAAAAACACGTCAGTCTGTGGGTAGCTAAGAGGTCTAAGCCTGTCATAATCTTCCTGTCCTGCAGTGTCAAACAAACCCAATGTGTAAGGTTCCCCTCCAATCATTACTGTAACTGCATAATTATCAAATACCTGAAAATAAACAGAAATAACACTTTTCATACCAAGTGCTAAAAAGCTATTCTAAATAAAATGATAGAAAGTAACATTAACCTCTTAATAATCTCCTGACTTTATGAAGTATGTCATTAAAAAATATATAAATTTTAAGATAAGATCCTTTTATGATCCTAATAAATGGAATTGTTTTTTTTATTACATTGTAGATGTTCATTTTCAGAACACATAATTATTCTTACAAAGACAAACATTTTTAAACAATAACAATTTAACAAGACGTTCTTAAGTATTTCTCAGTCATAAAAATCAGCCATATGCCATGAAATTTAAATCTCTTAGTGATAATATCGACTAAAAGAGTCATTATTTAGATTTTGTTAACAGCCCAGGGATCTGAGCTTAGGTATCTGTGATTTAGAGGGTGAAATGTATCTTCAAATTGTTTATGCATATTACTTCAAATAGTTCTTCAAGCAATGGAATTAGATGTCTATAATAATAATAGTTTCTTTGACATTCATACTAGCTTGCATTCTCCTAAGGTTGAATAGTCTGCCATCTGTCCTGTATCTTATTTGAATGCTGTTATTATTGTCAAGAAAAGCATTGGTCAGGATAGTTGAGAATATACTTAAGAGTGTTGGGGCTAGAGCACAGGCCCATTATAATTGCAAAATTTTGTCTTGGTTAAAATATATATTTATTCATGTGCTGAAAAATATATATGTACATTGGAAACTAAAAACATTTCCATTTATTTCTATCAATAAAGTCATTAAACCCAACAATGATGGAAAGTCTAAATTTCTTTAAAAACTTTTGTAAATATTTATGTTTTACTGAATTCCCTTTTGATTGGGTATTTAAAAAATTAATACTTAAATGTTAATTTTAGTTCAGTAATCTCACTTTCTGAGACTGCAATCTCCCTTCACCACTTTCACATCACTTTCTTCTGGCTCTCTACCCTCTCCTCATTTACCTTCCATGAGCAACCCTATATTCTTCTCTAGATCCATTCCCCATCATCCACTACCTCTTCCCCTCGGTTCACCTCTATGACCCCAACTGCCCTCACCCCCCCACCCTATCAAATTCCCTCGATACCTCTGCATCCCATGACCCCTACCCCTTCCTGCCACCCAATAAAAACCTGGTACCCTAACCAGAGTTGGGTCTAAAAAAATATTACAATGAAGAAGCAGTAAAGGTATGTTCACACTGTGGATTAGTTGCAGCCACAAAGCTCAGTGGTGAATCCATGACACAGTTATCCCATGTAGGTGTTCACACTGAGCAGGCACAACTATGTCATCTGATACAGAAGTTTTGTTTATATTATATTTTATATTTATCAATTTTAAATTTATGAGATAGTGCAATGACCAGCAACCTGGGCCTGCATGTGTCACTTTAAATAAAAAATGATTTTAACAATAAGAACCCATGCCTGGAAAAATTAAACGGTAAAACTATTTTCAAATCTTTAAATACTTCCATATTTTTTTTAACAAGACATTGTTCCAATAGAATCTTTTCTTGTCTTTCCTACTTCAATGAAATCAAACTTTAAATATGTTTTTTAATATTGGAACTACAAAACATGGCTACAATCGAATACAATATTTATAAACAAGTAAGATCATATTTAATTCATGTTTTTAAAAAAATGACAACTTCATTTTCTACTGGTTGCTACGCTATTAACATGTCAGCTGATAATAATGTGTGCGCATTAAAAAAAATATGATGGATTGTTTCAGTATATATTGCCAGTAGACAATCTACTGCAACACAAAAAAACAGTGAAAATAATACAGTGGCACCTTTTTTGTTACAGTGAGTAGCAGGTGGTCACAGAAAGTTGAGAATCCAAGTAACAAATCTGCTGTCTAAACATACCTTAACAAGCAGTGATTTTGGATCTTGGACTTTGTCAAATTTCAAAACCACCTAATCATATAGAAAATGTCCATCCAGTATAACACTTACAAGCATAGATGACTATAGTGACTTACTGTTGGAACATATTCCGAAGGAAATTTATTTGTTGTATATGAGATAAGCAAGCAGGTTTTACCCACTGCACCATCACCAACAACAACACATTTTATCGTCTGCATTATTGCTGTTTACTTGGTTACCTGAGATAATAAGAAATACTCAAAATTAGTATTTTTTAAAAATTGCTTACCGTTGACAAAAATGAAACTATACATGCAGTAGGATAATAGGCCTGGAACAATTAACACTAAATCATAGTATTCCACAAATTAAAAAAAATAGAAACCTGTCATATTTTTTAAAATAAATATTTCACAGCAAAAGTGTTTGATGAAATTCAATATACTAATAAAATCCATAAATTCACAGCAAATAAAAGTTGTAAATAATTTATTTTGTTTACCAAATGGAAAGAAGATATATGCTCATATTTATGAAAGGCCTTTTAACTAGCTTTAAAAATGTTACATTTGAATAATTTATTATAAATTGTTCCAAAATTTCCATACAGCTATTGACTGTTTCATAATTTGTTGTTTTATAAAGTAATTATAACAATTAAAGGTGAATAATTAAATCAAATTTATTTCTATATGATAGATAAATAAATCATGACTGAATTAAATGTAAAACTGAAATATGCTTAAGTAATGGGCTTAACATCCTGCTTTTTTTTAATGGCAGCTGTGATATAACTGGTAAGCCTTGCTTTAAAAACTAAAAGACAATTTTTAATTGGCTGCTGCCTTCTAACTTTACTGATTGAGGTAATTTACTGAGTGTTTACCTAACCGAAGAACAGTTGCCTTACTCACTGGGCTAGCAGTACCGTTTGAACTAGCTTTCACCCAAAGCTAAGGACTATCCCAGACCTATTCAAATCTGATACCACTTGGTCAAGTGGCAAGGCTACGTTTCATTATAAGACCTATTGGTCAACAATTAGGATTAGGTCTAATTTGGATTTTAAATAGGATACATTATTGCAAGGAGTCTAATCTAAATGGCTCTTAGTTCAGTTATCAGTTAATCGTCATTATTTGTTCATTCAAAATTTAATTTACTGGCATCACTTAAGACCATTAATTGAAACATTGCCTCCTATAATAATTATTTGCACACTCATACTGGTGTTATCCCCCTCTATTTTTTTCTTTAATTGAAACATTGCAAATTAAACAGGATAGATATGCTGATAGATAAGCCTAATAATATTGGATTTCAGTTTGAAATAAAATCTTATTTATTATTTTTACTGAGGCATAAGATGATTTATTAATATAGCCTAGGCCTATAATCAAATAGGGCCTGGTGTTAGTAGGTACTTCACTAAAAAAGTCAAAGTTGTTATATAGTAATCAAACTTATATCATTAGAAAGGACTTAATATTTCCTTTTCATTGATACCAAGTTTATTTTTCTATCTTAATTAGAAAAAAAGTTATCGCATTTTTAGTGTCAGAATTTTTCCTAATATAGCCTTAGTAAATAATTTCCAAAATTCTGTGATTGAGAAAAGACATCTTTACCACTCAAAATGCAATAACTTTTTAAGTCAGCAAAGTTAAAGCTCTATATTTTGCAGCACATTTCAATTAAGTATTGGGCTTTAATAATAAATCCTTTTTTGTGCAAATACTACGATAAATATATTAAAGCGTAGGAATTGAACAACAGAGGGTAAGTAATTTTCATTAAAAATGTAGCGCCTGCTCTCAATACTCAAAATGCTGTAACTTTTTTTCCTGTAAAGTGAAAGCTTTCAAATTTTCAGCATAGTTTAATTAGGGATTGGGCTTTTATAATAAGCGATTTTAATATTAATATTTTATCAAATGTATTAATGAGTGGTATTTTAACGACGGGGGGTAAGTAAATTTCTTTAAAAAATTTGATTTTTCGACACTCAAAATTCCATAACTCTTTTACTTGTAAAGTTAAAGCCTTCAAAATTTCAGCTTAGTTTAATTAGGTATTTGGCTGCAATAATAAGCCATTTTAATATTAATACATCAATAATTGAATTAAATCAGTGAGACTTGAGCAACAGAAAGTGAGTGAATTTAATTTTAAAATGTAACCTCTTTGTGCATTAAAAATACAAATTGCATAAATTAACCAATTCAACTTAATGAGTTAATGCATACAATCATCTAGTGAATTAATATTAATACTGTGAATGATTCCACAGAAAAGATTTATAAAATAATGGATAATAATGGATAAGTCGCATTGAAAGTATGCTGATCACAAATGTTAAATCCAATCATCCAATCCATGAAACTGATAATCCCAAGTATCCATGCTATTAGAAATCCACAGTAAAATTGATGATCACTTAACATTATATTAGTATACCGGGTAGTTCATTGAACGGCTGAACAAAAGAGATACATTGTCTTTCATAGAAAGCTGATGGCCAAAAGTAATGACTTGGCCAAGTCCATGGCGATCTTGATCAAATAATAAATAGAAGTCCTGAGTGTATAAATTGCCAAATAAATGCTGTTGATAGTGGAAAATATCAATAGCTGTTAAGATTATGCTCTGATGGTCCATACTGTGGTGGATTGTCCAGTTGGACATTCAGTTACACCTGAGAGGTTTTTGTTAAAACAGGAAAGATTGGTAAACAACTTCAGAGAAATTGTTCACGCAGACAGAGGCAGTAGAAGCCATATTCCGGAGAAGTATCTAGAAAAGTTTTTCTGAAGCAACACTTGGCACAGCTGGGCGTCCAGTACTCTAAGCAGGAGAGGACTTATTTCCACTTCATCGCAACACAAATTCCTTGCAATTCAATGTGGGTCTAGTAGTCCAGACAAGCTGAAATAGAGATAGAAACTCGATTTAATTAAACACAAGTAACATAAGTAATTAACATAAGTAACAAAAGGTACTTTCTATATTTAATTAATTTATTTATTTAGGCATTTTTATATAGCGCTTACCTTAAAGCTCTAAGCGCTTTACAATTATTAAAAACATGTAAACTAACTACAATATAAATAAGTCATTAGGATAGTAACTACTATACTATAGAAACAATTAAAATGGCTATAAAACGAGGACACTTTGGCACGTTTTGGCCTATATTACAGGATTAACCCGAGACAGAAAATGAGGCAGGGCAAGGAGGGTGCATCACAGGTCATAGGCGGACCTAAACGGATGGGTTTTAAGGGACTTTTTTAAATTTATAAATATATATTTAATTTAAGATTGTGCATTTCAGTGTGACAGTTTTGTAATTAAATTATTTATTAATTAAGACAATGGTGATTTTACTTATCCTGTCTATCCAGTATAGATATTATATTGTGATGTTCTACCATTTTTATTCAGATTAAGCCAAGTACAAACTACTTATCCATTCTGGAACATTATCGGATATAAATTTACTTATATAAAAAGTCTGGTGGTATTGATGAGCCCTCATGACAGCTTTCCATCAACTGGAATGGACAGGCATGAAACTTAGTTAGTACTAGTACTAGAAGCACAATTACTCCAAATAGTTAACATGGCTGTATATTAAAAAGAAAGAAAATGCTGAGACATTTAAGATATTTTCACACAATTTTTCGTATACAAACTACTAGCTTTGCTGCTGTTTTAAAAATAAAGTTATTCAATGACCAGAAATTATAAAGACTGGGCTAAGCCTGAAAAGTCAAATATAATAGCTTTGAGCTAAAGCAGTAAAGCTTAGAGGCAAGAAAGGAATATACATTTTTATAAATAAGGTATACAAAAGGAAAATGAAAAAAGAGAGATAGGTTATTTAAAAGACAAAGGTAAATAAAACTATGAAACTTAATAAAAATAAATGACTTTTAGTAGCTGCTAAGCCTACTACTACTATTCATTCTTAACCGTATCTAATCTGAGTTATGAAACTTAATCAAAATAAATGAATTTTAGCAGCTGCTGAGCCTACTACTACTATTCATTGTTTACTGTATCTAAACTGAGTTTCAGATAAATTATATCATTAAGGACATTATTTAATTCCCAAAAATATAATTCACAGTTGTGAAGTTTGATTATTACAAATTACAACACAGATTTAAATTACTCAACTTTGTTGATATAGTTTTGATTTCACATGGTTATCATGGATGTAAATTTTATTATATAAAAAAAAAATAATGAAATTTCATAAAATATTAGATATTTGTTGTCAGTCATGAAATTAAAACAAATTTAATAATAAAAAATGAACTGGATTGCTTTTAAAAACAATAGATTTATAAAGATTTTAACTACTTCTTATGCAATAGGAATAATAATAACAGAGAATGCCTATAACTTCCAGTTCATTTGGCCTAATCGATAACAGGTTACGAATTATTCTCAAATTGACACACTGTCTATACAATTTAAGGCGTATCTAAATGTCGCTATGTTTCTTGTTTCAATTAGTTAAATGTTTCTTACATACAATACAAAAAGAATTAATTGGAATACTATTATGGTTTTCAAAGTATAGTGCAAACAAACTTACCTGCTTTCCTAACGAAAGATATCTGCTACAAGCACTGTAAGTCCGATGAAAAATGTTTGTGTCATAATGATCACCTTCTTCGTGTGCACAAACCAGACTATAATAAGTTCATTGTCTCTCCCTTACGTAGACAAGGGAAACTAGATCCCGGCATTGACAGTCATCAGTTTATTATAGTCTGTTTTCGACATCCGAAAAAACTATCGGCGCACGCAGCTTAGTGAAGTACCTACTGTAAGTCTACAATGCATTCTTGTGTCTTGTGCAAAGATTAGTTAACTAGTCATGTGCAAAAGTTTAGAGTCCAATAGAATATAGTAGTAGGTCTACTGTATTCAGTTATAGCCTTACAATCCTCAGTTAAATTTTTTAATTAATTATTGATAAAAGGTCTTTTAAAAATGAAAGCTACAGTATAGAGCTAATCCTGGAAATTAAATGTTTTCAAAATTCCAATTAAAACATGAGCACATGACAAGATCAGTACAGCAGAATCTGGTCACAAAATGTAGAGGTGCAGGCTATAAGTATAAGTAAAAAGGACAAACTAACCTGCACTTGAAAAATTCATATTCATTGCTCAATCAATATCTACTAACTACACTACTACAGCTAGAAAGTTGATTCTGGTTTTAATGTTTTATTTGCAGTTTTCTTTATAGCCTTTTATACAACTGTATAAGTTTTATAATTTTGTGGAATTTTAAAACTTTTTACCCCAGTGCCTAGTCCTAGTTTAGACCTACATATCATTGTAATTGTAACTGTTCGTGATTCTAACTCTTAACTCTATTTCTAACTAAAAAGTTTTTAATTGAAAGTCAAAATCATACAGAAAAAGAAAACTACGAGGGAGAGATTAGTATGAGACTTTGTATGTACAGAAAGATGATACAATGGGTTACATCATTTAAGTTTAAATAACACTCCTGGACATACCATTTTATATGTACATAATGTATACAGGCACCATACTATACAGTGCGGAAGTAACAGTGACAATCTGCAACGATTAGTGGCTGAGCAGCCATTTTGGAGAATTTAATAGGGCTTATTTTTAACATTACCTATCATACAGAGTAAAAACAATGATTTTGAAAGCTAAATTGTTTGATGGTAAGCTATTTAGACGTTGTAAGAAATCTCTTCAAATGTAATCATTTACTTTACCAAGTGAAAAACTGCAAAATCCAGAGTTTCTTAGGGAAGTTTGAAGTGACTAATATGCCGGAAGGAAAGGCTAGGTTGTGACCCATGCGCAAATTTCTCAGTGCGCAGGGTGCGTAAGTCATACATTTTTTTAAAATGACTTATGTTTTTCTATTTACAACTCCCTCCCCCCCCCCCCCTTTTTTTTCAGTCTTTTTAAATTATATGCTGCTAACGCGTTTCGCTTACCACTTTTTTTCTTTTTTTTAGAACAGTGTGGCAATTAAGCCCAGATGATCAAATTGCTCTTTAAATATTAAATGAAGTGTTAAAAATTATCATATTTAAACACTTTAATAAAGATTATAAAGAGCAATGGCAATATGAACATCTCAGACATCTGAACTAAATTGCCACAATAGAAAATCTTACATATATGACAAATTGATGGCGTGGCCTTAGCAAAGCTATCAAGTATTAGCTGTGTCTTTGGTTACAGGTCGAACATTTATTATGTCAACAAAATAGGGTGGAGGAGGGGTTTGGAAATGTTTGACTGTTGACCGGGGGGGGGGGGGTGTAAGCTTAGTTGACGTCAACAATCATGTTTTCTCTATTAAAATTTTAATATTTAAAATTGACTGGTTATTACATTATTTTAACAAGTTTAATGAGTGTAAATTAAAATAGTTTTATCATTTTTAGGCTTTTAACGATATAAGATTTATTTAATGTGTGTCTGTCGGTGCACTGCTGGTGGCTGGTCAGAATGTTAGCACACTTTGTTATTGCAAGAGAAGTCAAAAGTTGGCCTCTCTTCGTCTGTAGATTGTTTTTGTCACAGATGAATAGGGCGGTATGTTTGCGATTATGTTGCGGGTATGAAACAGTGACAAGGTTCAAGTGTCATGTGCAGTGAAGATAAATAAAATTGAAAGAGTAGGAATACGATTTTGGTGGGTTTGGGCTGAAATTTGAATGTGTTTTCATCGGCAACGAGTCTATGTGGCAATTTTCAGCTCGATAGCTTGACGGGAAGTGTGTCAATTAGCAATCCGAAGATTTTGCCTCCCAGCCAGCCAGCCACGAACAAAAGCGAAGTTAATATAAAGGATTTTTTTACAAATCCTGGTGCGGGGATTGATATTATGCCATCTCATCGTAGATGTTGATTTTTTAATTATTTTTTTTCTCCAGACCCCAAGGTTGAATTACCAGTTACCAGACCACTGCTGCTGTTTTAGAGATCCTGATTTTGACTTCTTATTTCATTGGTGCAAGCTGTAGGTGGTCGATCCAAAAATGTTTATTCCTCAACAACTATCAGGTCGTAATCCCTCGATGACAAGGTGGGAGTTTAATTCGGCTCGGTGTCTTTGGTCCAAACTTCTTGAAAGATTGAGAGAATCTCCCAATATGGTGAAAATAGTAAATAGGAAGGGCGCACATACACAAAATAATAATAAATACTGGTGTATGGACCTATGTTTGTTATAAGTTACTTTTTGTAACTTTAATGTATTAAAAATAAGATTCAACGTTTTGTGTCCAGTTATAATGTGGATTTTAATTAAATGGCCCTAAATGTAATTTTAACATGACCAGGAAGTGCTTTTCGAATACCCAAACATCTATTCGCTTTTCATTGCATCTCCCGTTCGAGCAGCCGCTTTGGGAAGAAGTATCTTTTATAAAATAAAATAAAACGTTAATAAAATCCCACGACATTGTATAAAATTAAGCTAATTTAAAAACCATTGGGTCTTTTAGAAAAACTGCAACTATCATGTTTTTGTGAAACCTAAAACTAGAAAAGAAATGGCAGCATCAAGAAGGTAAGACTATCAAATTGTAAATAATAATTAATAATAAATGAAGGCTAAAAAAAGTAAACCCTAATGTTATTTTATTTATTAGGACAGAGGCCTAAATATTAAATGTCATCAATTAATAGGCGGTATTGGGGTATGCAATTAGACAGTTAGCTGCCAGTAATGGGACTAACTAAACTATAACTACCAAACTTAACTTGAAACTTGAATAAGAATTGTACTCACTCACAATCACAGTTGAACTCACTGTACTGTACTGATGTCACAGTGGGTAACAAATATAAGTAAGTATGTTACCCTCAAATTCAAGTCATAATTGTAATAATTCATAATCAATAGGCTGACAGTGAATTCTGAATATAAATAGGCTGACAGTGAATTCTGAAAATGCATGGCATATGTAACCTATTCAAAAAGACATTTAAAATTAAAAGAATGATTAAAGCCATTTTTATGCAGCTGAGTTGAGTGAGTTAAAACTAAAAACCTATGAATATGTCTAGCCTGATAAATAAAAATATTACCAGATATTAGACAGAAATTGAGTAAAGTAACAAGTTCGGTTTGACTTAGCCTTGCCTAAGGCCTAAGGCAGGGCAGGCCTAATATTTTGTGTAGAATTTTACTTAATGAGTAACTAACTACTGTATTGGTGTGTTATGTGTTGTAAAGGCCCTTGTGCCTTGTCTTTGTTGTTAGTTGCCTTAGCCTACTTCCTATGCATAAGGCAATGCTAAGCTAAAGATTAATATTTCAAAATATCACTTCCAGTCAACTAGAAACCTATGCCTATGCCTATATTAAACTAGAAAGCTATACGTGCTACTCTTTCAGTACAATAATTCTTGAAACTGTGCTAGACATATATTTTAATTGTAAGGAATTTATCTTGGAGGTCTGATATTAGCTGCTACAAGGCAATCTTGAAAAGTGAAATAATTTGTGACTCATTGCCATATTTGCTACCAGTTTATGGGGACTTTGAAATTATTAAATAACCTCACACTCAGACGTTTGCATTATTTTCAATATTTTCATAGAAAAGATTGCCTATTTAGCACATCATGTTGATACTATGACAAAGCTTGTCTTACTTACGTTTTTTTGACTGGGTACATTTATTTAGTTCCGCCCTTTAAAAAATAATTTTAACTACCTCTTTAAATACATTATATATTAACTCACAAATCACAATATGCTAACATCATAACTGAAACAATTAGATCTATTCAAATTAATTTAACTTCTAAATTACCCTGTGCTAAATGACGTTTATTTTCAGTCAACACTATTTCATTATGGGCATCCCACAATGTTATTTATAAGCTTTAAAGTAGATTAATTTGACACAAACAATTTGTGTAAATAATATCTAAAACAATATATGTTCAGCTTTAATGATTGTAAAGAATACAAATGTATAGAGCAGTGGTTCTCAACCTTTCTAATGCCGCGACCCTTTAATACAGTTCTTCATGTTGTTGCGACCCCCACCGACACAATTATTTTCTTTGCTTCTTCATAACTGTAGAGTATATGTGTTTTCAGATGATCGTAGGCAACCCCCAAAGGGGTCGCGACCCACAGGTTGAGAACCACTGGTATAGAGAAAAGAATAAGAGTGGGCGCAATACCCAACCCACTCTCATTCTCTTTTCTCACTTTTATAGGCAGGATACATAAAAATCAATATTAAGTAAATTTAATTTATACTTATATCAATGTTTTTTTTTTGTACTTATGAATGCATTTGCTGAAACGTCTACATTTGTATTCTGTATAATCATTAAAGCTGAACATATTATGTTTTAGATATTATTTACACAAATTGTTTGTGTCAAATTAATCTACTTTAAAGCTTTATCCCAGTCCAAGACTCTTGTAATCTCATGCATAATTTTTCAAATGAGTTATGCTTATATAGTTAGGGACTATCAAAATATTAAGAGGCTATGGGAACAAATTGACTAAATATGAAGCAAAAGCTTATAAACCCTTTTTAAAGACTTTCTGAGGTTTATTTGTTCGTATTGGTAATTTGGAGGACAATGTAATTGACTTTATTTATTTAGACATGAAAGTTAACATTGTTAGACCTTTCATGAATGATTTTAAGAATTTTAAATACTGATTGTGTCGGGTACTAGTGCTATCAAGGAAGTGAATAGCAGTACATTATATTTTGGAGGAGGAAATAAATAATGAAACTGGGTTGCTGATTGAAACAGAAAGTGTAAAGTTCTTGTTTGTCCCCCTGACTAAACTTAATATAATTATGGTTGCCAGAATGACATTTTACTGAACACCAAATACTTTAAAAACAGTTCATCTTTATAACTGCCTTTTTTTTCCTTGCATTATTCTTGAATTCTGAATAATATGTTTATTTTGCAATAATAGAGTTTTTAATTAAAATTCTAAAAAACGAGTGTTGAATTTATCTGATTACAGAAGGATGGTAAGCCAATAACTAAAAGTATCTGGCAGTTTCTAGGTTTTACTGTTTTCCAGCTGACTAGCACTTAACTTAATACAGCTACAAAAGAGCACTCTTAGAGTTCAGGATGTAACGAGTTTTATGTATTCATCATTAAAGAGAGCATATAAAAAAATCTTAGTTCATTTTGGGATAAAATACATGTGTGCTGGATGGAAAATTTTGATTAGTCCGTATAATAGGTTTAACATGATCAGAAATGTTGAAATAGAAAATATATATATAAATTAGATTGTAAGGGCAGTTACTTTTTTTATTGGTCATGGAGAATATAAATAAGCATTTTCCAATGGCAAGGTAAATTTTTCATAACTGTAAAAACTGTATTCCATCCGTTTGATTGTTGATTTTTGAAGCATATAATTTTTTTTTATTCGGGTCCATCATATATTCTCAAATGTCAATTTTGGAAATATGTTTATATTATGGTTGTAATATTTAAATTTGATAATTTTAATTATTGTGAGCTTATTTTAAAAAAATGGGCATTTTTTTGTTCATGAGAAATTGTCATACAATTATTTAAATAGCTTCCATTTCAATAATTTAGAAGTTTTTAGGACTCTAAAGCTTTAACCTTGAAATATTATATATTTTAAAGAAAGGTATGAACTTTATTATTTTTTCAAATGCATCTTATTTATGTCATCAGATCAAAATAGCTCTAGATTATTTAAAATTTAAACGGTCAGTAAATATCACTCATTATTATGAAACTAGAAGTATGCCGCCAAACAATGCTTGAGGCAATGCGTGAACTTCATATCTACTAAAGTTACTTAACAAAAATATGCATTTAAGCAACACACTTTATAAGATTCCCATTTAGTGCTAACTTCTGGGAATTTTTTTCACGCCTGTTGAACACAGCGTTACAGCCATACATGCATACCTAGAAAATAATCATTTCTGATTACTGAAATTCACAAATTCTTATATTTATCCTTATGTCTAAAAATAAGTTTTGATTAGACATTGAAATACCCATAAAATAAAACTTTACATCCATAACATTTCATTTGTATGGGTATATTTATTGAAAGAAGGGGGTCAACATTTGATTCTCCATAAAAACATATCACCCAAGCTTCGTAGTTTCACCAGAGACACTTAGAGCCCAATTAGACCATTGCCTCTCGGTGACTGATGGATGCTAAACAAAAATAGAGGGAATGTATAGAAAAAATATGTGACAGACAGGAGGGGATTAAAAGTGTGTATATATATATATATATATATATATATATATATATATATATATATATATATATATATATAAGATAAATGATCTTGCTGGCTGCCGTCCATGGTTTGCCTTGTAAAAGTTATGTGGTGGGGTGGGTGAATATACATTGCTGTTCTTTATTTCATAAATGTATTTTATTTTAATGTCATGATTATGTCTCTTTTGATAAAATTTTTATGTACAGCGCGGTGAGCCCAGCCCTAGGCTGGGGTAGGCAGGGGTACCGCGCTATACAAGACGTCTCTGGCTCCACCTAGATTTTGTTACTGTATGATACTGAGCTTCAACCCATACACATAAACAATTACAGATTACTGCTTCATAACCGTTAATAAATAACAGATGCGTTAACTGGTCGAGATTCCATTACTAGATCATCACAGGATAAAACAGAAGTTTAAATTATTTGAAAGAACACAATGTTGACATACAAAAATCACATCATGTCTTATGTACAAAAGGGGCAAGATGACTTACCAGCAAAAACTTCTCTTTTTTTTAATAGATGGTTTCACCCAAACATCAGTGGCCAACAGGCCGAAAAGCTGCTGATGGAGAAAGGCCAAGACTGGAGTTTTTTAGCTCGTCCCAGCAGCACAGAAGGGGCCTACACTCTGTCCATCAGGTGGGAGCGTTGTAACTGTAAACAATGCCACAAACTTTTATTGGAATAAAAATAATTTCTTAAATTAACTAGTATAGTCCTTCAGATAACCCGCCAAAACACTTTTATTTTACTTATTTGAAGCTAGGGGGAAATCATAATTCACAATTGAGTTAATTAACACGTAGGTTATACATGGAGTTACTTTACATAATGTAAGTTATACATTGAGTTAGTTAACATGTAGGTTTTTAAGAACAAATTTACTCTTGTTAACGTTATTTAGATAACTGTTTTCACACCTGCCAAATGACACTCAAGTGGTTGTTCGTTTACCTTGTTAAACTTTTATATAAATGAATGCTCTGATTTTTTTTTATATTCCAGACGAAATGGGGAAGTAACACACATAAAAATCCAAAACACAGGTGATTCATACGACCTGTATGGAGGAGAAACATTTGCAACATTATCAGAACTTGTACAGTATTACATGGAGAACCAGGAACAGTTAAAAGAAAAAAACGGGACTGTCATCAAATTGAAGTACCCTATGGCCTCAGTTGATCCTACCCCAGAAAGGTATCAAGAGTTCCAGTGTTTTATTTATTGCAAGATTTTATCGGTGTATGGAAAAATATTTATTAAGTTTAAATTCTCAATTTTCTTTAAAGTAAATAAATTTAAGGTAACTTAACACAGCTGAGTCAAAGGTGGAAAGTCCTTCCTCTGCAGCTTCTTTATCTGTAATCAAGTATTGAAATACATGCACATTGTCTTATGGCAGCGGTTCTCAACCTGTGGGTCACAACCCTTTATGTAGCCTAAAAATAATTTTGTGGGTGGGGGTCGCCACAACAGGAGGAACTGTATTAAACTGTTGCGGCATTAGAAAGGTTTTAAAAGAAATAATGGAGTACTGGCCACAGCCTTTATTTTCTTAAACTTGTTTTATGAATGTCAGTATTCTTATAGCTGGTAAATAAACATCTGTCTGTTTTGTTTTTGTTTTTTCAATGTTATCATGGATTTTTGAAACAATTTTGTAGGTGGTTTCATGGTCATCTTACTGGACGTGAGGCTGAACGGCTTTTGTTGGAAAAGGGTAAAAATTCCAGCTTTCTTGTCAGGGAAAGTCAAAGCAAACCAGGTGATTTTGTGATATCTGTGAGGTGTGAGGATAGAGTTACCCATGTAAAGATCCGCTGCCAGGTAAGTGTTAGAAGTAAATGTGATGTTTTAGAGAACCTTAATATATTGCTGTCATTTGTGTAGCTATTGTGTATCACTCACATGCGAAGATGACCAAGGCAATGTTTGACACACTGCCTACGGGACTCCATCTCCGGGTTGATTTTAGAGTTCGCCTTCTCTTAGATGAATCGCCACCCAAGATTATTGAGTCTCATCCTCCTGGGGTGCTTGTTTGGGCCTTTGCTTAGCGATTGAACATACAGTCCACAAGCTTGGGATCCACACATTTATTGTAGTACATATATAAATATTATTGAAAACTTTTATTGTAGTAAACATTTATTTGATTATCTCCTTTTTTTCTATGCTATTTGCACAGCCTGTCATATCAGGCTGGTGATTTCAGTGGCTGGCCATTAAAAATAATAAAAGCATAATCAACGTCATTTTATGAAGTTAATTTATTATTATGGTGATGATGGCAGCATGCAAGTACATTTTATTATAGAAGAAACTTAATAAATCCTTTAAAATTTTTATTTTGAGATCAAATTAAAGATATATCTTCCAGTGTGATGCAATGACTACAGATTAATGAACTGTACAAATAAAAGTTAGCTTATTTGGAAAATAACATTCTGTTCCTTTTAAAAACTTAATGAATTTTTTTTTTAATATCTGATTACAGGGTAGTAAGTATGATGTTGGAGGTGGTGAATTGTTTGACTCTCTTAGTGAATTAGTTGAGCATTACAAGAAAAGTCCAATGGTAGAAACCTCAGGAACAGTGGTCTACATTAAACATGTAAGTCTATTACTTTTTGGTTTTCTTCTAATTTTATATCATTTTTGCATGTATGCCCAAATACCTTTTTATTTTTTTTACATTGCTGAATTTACCCATCTCCAAATAACAGCTACAATCAAATGATTGAATTCAGTACTTTTAAGTCAAAAGTATGTGGAAGTGAAAAGTAATTATATCACTGAAGTAAAGTTTATGTAATTGTGCTGTGAAAGCAGACTATATGTAATTGTAATTATTGGCTTCAGAAGTAAAATGTGATTAATTAGACTGTAGATGTTAAAAAAATATATTTATTCCACTTTATTAAAGCTACAACTTGATTTGAAACATGTTTGTATTGTTTACTGAAAATGTATTACTTTTTGTACAAATAAAAGATGTATATCATTCCTGTGTAGCAGTATTTTTGAGTGTAAATATATAAAGAGAACAAAATAGTGAAAATAACTAGGAATAATCAAACAATAGCATGTCATGGGACCACAATTTGCAGTAACCGTCATAGGATTTTATTGAAACGTATCCAACTGTAGTTATGCCAATAATTTTCTCCTCCCTGAGTGTATAGTTATATTTCATCCAAGTTATTCTCAAAAACTTCCCTATATTTTATCCTGTTTTGGTTTAATTCAGCCACTCTACAATAGCAGAGTAATGGCCTCATCTTTAGAAAATAGAATAAAACAGCTACAGACAGAGGATGAGGACAGTCAGAGATCGAACAATGCATTTCATGAGGGCTTTTGGGGAGAGTTCCATGTAAGTAACAAACCTACTAAAATTTTTTGTTGTACTCTTAGCAGCAATGAATTAATGATTGCATATGTAGTCACTTCCATTTCTGTTACATTCCAGAGCACTATAAGACTATCCTAAACGTAATTTTGAAAATATGACGTAAAAGAAAAAAAACATTGAACCAGGGTGCTTTAAGTCTATCCAAACTTAAATTTTTTAATTTAATTTTTGTTTAATCTCTTCTTTGTACTACACCACAAAAGCTTTAAACCCCTCTCTCTCTGGCCATCCCCAAACAGTAAGGTGCAATGGGTGGGGCAGATGGTGTGATTGCCAGGGCATCCATTTTGTGGGGAGGGCATACACTCTAAGAGTGAAATGAATTACTTTTTTTATTGTCGCTGTTATCATTTTTTTGTGTGGCTTCCTGCTACTTCTTCATGTGATAAAGTGTTAAAAGCTAAAAGGTCATCTTCAGGGTAGGGATCCTAGCAACTCTGTTTTATCCAACTAGACCTGTTATTGGGAAATTCTGTACATATTGACCCAAGGCCATTTAGGGGGACAGTGTTTACATTAAATGCTTCTATCTAAACTATCTATCTATCTGAACTAAACATATCTTTGATGAATGCACTATTGCATGCCAAAAGTATTTGTAAAATATTTGCAATGGAAGTGCTTGTTTCAAAGCACACACAAAAATGAAATAACAGTGTTTTAATCTTTATAAAACATTTCTAGTTGTCAAATATTCTAGTTGTTGAATATTTGGCTCGTTGTTTAGGTTTATGATTCTCGCTTTGGTTTAATCTCTTGTAAATCTTGCCACACAACAGACTAGGTTGATTCATCAAAACAATACGCTTCAAGGTACATAAGACATTTATTTGCTGACAGCATTACTAGATTAATGCGTCTCAAAGTTTAGTGAACATGAATCCAAAGTATATGGCAATATTCCAATCAGCAAAACATATCATGACAAAATCCACTATCTCCAAAAAGACGTCTCGCTGTCGCGAGTCCTATCTCTCGTCTAACCTCTGTTAACGTACTCCCCGTGACATAATAACTATTCTCCTCTCACTCCCCCTTTCATTCAATCGTTCACTCCAAAATCGTTCACCAGTAACATGAAAATAGTTCACTCTCGCTCCTAAGCCCTGTTCATCCCCACTTCCCACTCAAACACACCACGCCTGATTTCATGATCTTGACACTAGTATCAATAAGTGTTTTGCTGCATCAGATTGGAAACATATAATTACAATTCTGGCATAAAGGTTAACAAATTTGTCTCAGTATTTACATCTTATGTACTCCTTTTATATATTTGACTTTCTGAGGTAATCTAATCCAACTGCTCATATTTCTAAATATTGGAATACTACAAAGTTAAATGCACATCTTTGTCTCAATGGAGATTTTTATCTATCAAACTTTGGTCTATGATTAATTTTCCTATTAAGTAAATCTATGTAGATAACTTTTTTTAATCAGACTCTTTAACAGTGGCAGCATACTTCCATACTTCAGAGCTTCCATCCAATGATGGTGCACTTAAAAACAGTGTGCAGAAAATAATTCACATAATTTCATCCTAATTATCTTATTTAATAAAAAGTAGGTAGTTTGGGGCATGCAATCAAGCAGTACGCCAGATCATCACCAAATTGTCTGATGGGGTGTAAAGAAATAGCAAAAGAATTATTTAAAAAACTTCCATAATGCCTTACAGCATATTCAGTTTCCTTCATTGATGTTGTATTACAGCAACTTCAGCAATGTGAGTTTACAGGCATTAGGTATTCCAGGGAAAAGGGAAGTAAACCTGAGAATAAGGCAAAAAACAGATACAAGAATATTCTGCCTTGTGAGTTACCTTCTTTTAAAAAATGTTTTTGACAAATTAACTGGTTAATTTAATTGTAACTCTTAATGAAGAATTTAAAAAATGTAATACAAATTATACCTTTGAACAAAATAAGTTAAAAAAATGTTTTTGAGTAAAAAGGTAAATGTAGGTTCCTTTTTATTTTTCATTTTCTGGTGATTATTAAGAGTAGATTTCAAGATTGTTTATATTAAATAACAGTGGATAAGTAAAGGTAGCCACTTTTTTAAATGTCACAATACTGTCACAGTTACTGTTAAATACCAGTAGAAAAATAGCCACTTTTTAAAATTTGCATTCCTGTCAAATAATGTGTTCCAACAGGATATTCCATATTATTGAATAGGTGTGGCCTGCATCTAGGGCATAAGGTTCTAGGATTCAGGGAGCCCATCCCACACAAAAAGTTTTAAGGCTGACTAAGAATCAAAATAAGTTAAATTTGTGGAAGTATTCAGTCTATTATGAAATTTTTGGCAGATGAATAAACTTGATTATCTTCATCCTGTGTTTGAATTTTTTTTTACCCCATTGTCATGTGGCATCAACCATGCCGTGTCTTTTGCATCTAACCTTCTACATTATCTTGCAGATGATTATACAAGAGTTATTCTTTCTGATGGCAACGAGGAGCTAGGGACAGACTATATCAATGCAAATTTAATTGTCTGGGTATGTTGCTAAATATGAATATAGTTATTTGATAGCATAGACATTCTGATATTTTTAACCAGAATTTCAAATGAACTTATTTGTGCCTCATATCTTTGGTTGATGTATATATCAATTTTAAAAAACAAATATTTACTTATTTTCAAGCCAAATAAGAAGCTTTGAAGTATCATGAATTGATAATTTACTGAGTGAGTTTTCATTTTCATACAGACTGATGATGACCAATTGATTGAGCCCAAGAGAAAGTACATAGCCACTCAAGGACCTTTAACTAGTACAATGTTAGATTTTTACAGAATGATTTGGCAGGAAGGGTCGAGAGTTATCATCAATTTAGCCAGGATCACAGAAAGAGGAAAGGTACACTTTTTGAAATCATGCCATCATTTTTTGTTTTTGAATTCCCATTTATTATATATGATCTACACTGACTAACAATCCAACCACTTACATGTTTACACATCAGGAATAGATTTAAAATTAAACATCTTTTTTTAAGTATGTCATATCTTCAACCTTTCTCTTCCATACAGGTGCAAATTAACATCTACTGGCCCACGGCCGAAGAGAACTATGAAAAACTGTTTGTATTTGAGCATCCAGTGGACAGCAGTGGCAAGAAAGAGTTTATCTGTCAGTACAGGGTGAAGCTGATCACTGAAACAGGGGATCAGACCTACATTAAGAGGGAGATGGTACTCACTAGAGAAAACAAGGAGGGCAAAGTAAGTTTTATCACTTGCATGTTTTTTCTGTATCCCTAGAGTGATAAGGGCTACTTCCTTCTGAAAATGTAAGTAATGTTAAATTAATTTTTCTAATTTGACTCTGCACAGGGTTGCACTGAAAAGAAAATAGACTGGCTATTAATTGATCTGACGATTATTATTTTTGCTGTGCTCTAAAAATTTGTACAGGCAGAAAAGAAAAAAAAACAACAGATTTTTTTTAAAGAGATACATTTCAAAATCGTTAGATGACACTTGTTTCCAAAGAAACCAAACTGATTTTACTTCTAGTGCAGTATGAGACATACCAAAGAAATGAATGAATAAATCATCAAAAGAGTTAACTATGTTGTAAAACATTTTTGATGTTTTCACACAACAGAGAAACAAATTACAATCAGCCAGTGAAAAAAACAACAACAATGAAGATGAGCCCTGGTTTATTCAAATGATTATCTGTATATGCCAATTTTAAAAGTAACATTGAAATATACATTAGTTTAAAAATATCTGTGAGGTCAGTTTTTAAATCTTCTCTACTGTTGTAAGGAAATATTAAGCCACTTCCAAGGATCACAAGTATGGCAGCAATCACACCAGATTTTCAGTAAATGATTTATGATATCTTTTTCCAGCCCATGGAAGAACCACGAAAGATTTACCAGTTTCACTACATGATCTGGCCTGACTACAATGTACCTGATGACCCTGGGTCAATGATAGATTTTCTAGAAAGAATAAACAACTTGCTGGATTCTTTACCTAGTCCTGGTCCAGTTGTGGTACATTGCAGGTATTTTTATACATTAAGTTATTGTTGAATGTTATAAAGTGGATATGGAAAGCTAAAAAAATATCAGTGTTTGAAATGAGAACAAAACAAACAAAATTTAAACAAAACAGACTGATCCCCCCGTATTATCAATTTTGTTTTGTTATTACAAATAATAATTCTCTAGCTATGTATGTATGTAATTTATGCATGGCTGTAATGCTCTGTTCTACTTTGCGAAAAATACAATTCCCCAAAAGTGCACTAGCGGCATGTAAATTTGTGTTCAATAGCTGCTGTAAATACAATTCCTGTATTAAAAACACTGATAGTGAGATTTGTTGTTTACAGAAATTGATATCAATTTAAATCTGGCAAAATGAATGTGCTTAGGACTATACTATATGTAAATGTATAAATTCTTTTAAATGTTAGTGCTAGTTTCATAAATTAGAAAAATATTAAATTTAATGAAATTCCGAGAAGTTAGCACCAATTTGAAATTCTTTTAAGTTCGTTACTCGAATGCATGCTTTGTCAAGTCACTTTAGTAGATGATAAGGTCATGCATCGCAGCTGCCATTGTTTGGCTGGTTATTTCTAGCTTTAAGATAATAAGCATTACTTTCCATTGTTTTTACTTAACCCTTTTGCTGATTTTTTTTTTTTTTCCTTCAAAATGATAATTTTATAATTGAAACTTATTATTTTTTAAATCCAAAAGTTTTATTTACATTTCAGTGCTGGTATAGGCAGAACAGGAACACTTATAGTTACAGACATGATAATTACTCAAATCAAAACATATGGTGAGATCTGCAATTTATGCCTGTGCATTAGTATAATTTATCAGAAATATTTATATAACCCTTTAAATTATTGCTCCACCAACAGTGACAATATTTTTTAATGAGCACTATTTTACAATGAAATGAAATTCTGGTAGTAATGATATTGAGGTTTACAAAATATCTGAAAGTTGATTTTGTTTAGGAATTTTTTCTATTATTTAAAAAAAAATATATATCTATATATGTATCTTTTTTTTTTTTTTTTTTTTTTTTTTTTTTTTTTTTTTTTTTTTTTTTTTTTTTTTTTTTTTTTTTTTTTTTTAATTGTGATATATTTTTTTTTTTTAAATTTTTTTTTTTTTTTTTTTTTTTTTTTTTTTTTTTTTAAATCTCAAGATGATAATAATTTGACAGCTTTTAATAATTGGGAAAATTATTTTCTGTGACAAGTTTTTTTGTTTATTGTTATAAAAACATATGTATAAATAATTATTTGTAATACATGATCGTACACAAAACTTCACATTACATTTTTTTTGGATTTATATTGTTGATGGGTAGTTAACCCACGAACTGTGGCATGGATTACTCTGTGATGTGGAGCTTTTCAGAGCGTTTTGAGTGCCATTTGAAATTGCATTAAATGACATAGACATATTGATACAAGACCCCCATAAGTATATATTTTTAGAAAGGTAAATGGATAGGGATAAAGTTGGCCTTATTGCCCGCCCCTTAAAAAAATTTTGCTCAGTGTCCTTGACCTTGGAGTTCTCAAGAAAAAAAATCGACAAAATGTCTTGCTTTCAAGTGCTCATAACATTATTAATTTTTATAGATACAGTTAAAAAACACAAATCCAAGTGTTATAGCCAATTCATTTGTCTTTCAGAAAATGTATAGTTTGCTAAGGTTTTGATTGCAATTAAACCTCTGAAAGCAATTTTAGTAATTTTAGGTCATTTATATAAGAAACTGGTACCACTGCAAAAATCAAGTATAAAATACAAAATCTCAAGCAAAATAGTAATTATTGACTAATAAACATTTAAAAAGGAAATGTGGAACTGATTTGGGTTGTTTAACTATAAAATTTATTAGTTCTGAACTATAATCTGTAGCTTCTGTGACTAAAATTCACTCAGTCATTGCCCAAACTCCGGGCCTGGCTCGAAGTCTAACAGTAGACTCAGTAGGCCTACTTCAGTATAACTAAGACTAGTATAAAATTCACGAGAAGAATAATCTCAACTGATATCGTCATGGGGAATGTTAAAATCATCATCAGTATCACTTAAAAACCTATCCTAAAAAGCTTTCAAACATATTTCTATTAGTTCTTGCACTGAAGGCCCAGCCATAGCTTCATCCATTTTAGCTTTAAAAAAAAACAGCAATATAAAACTCCGCTTTAAAAGTATTTATTTTTAAGTTATCAAGAAACAGCTTGAACCGGAAGATGATTTATTTATTAATAAAAGTAAGTGGCTATAATTCCATTTAAATATTGGTTTGGAAGTTGCTATCGGATTTTTTCGGCCGCCACAGTACAGAACGAGAATGTCGGCCGATTTTTTCGGCCGACCACAGTTTGTGGGTTAACTTAAAGCTGAAGGATTGTTGTTCTCTGTCCCAATGTACATAGCGTGTCATCCTTCCAGGTTTTGATTGTGATATTGACATCTTCAAGACAATCCTGATGGTAAGGGCACAGAGATCTGGCCTAGTGCAGACCCAGAGCCAGTACCAGTTTGTTTACCTGGCTGTTCAGAGGTACATGGAGATAGAGCGGCAGAGACAGCTGGCCGGACAGGTCAGCGTTGAAACTCATTTCAGTGTAGATTAACATCAGACATTATGCACTCTTTCTTGGATGGCTATTTGCATGTTTACATTTAACTCATTCCCGACATTTGCGGCCTTTACAGGTTTTGCCGGATGCGTCCAAATGCGCCCCGGCGCATAGATGCGCCCCGGCGCATAGCGACACACCTCTCTCATATCTATTTAAAAATAGCAATGAAATCTCGCATTCCTCGAGACTTCCAGCGATGGCGTGGCTAAGTGTGATTTTAATTTAAAAACTGGAAGTTTTTATCTTGTTTCACTTTAAAACTACGTGTGCTTTAATACGGAGCGTCTATATGTAGCATGTGTTCGTCTGAGGTGCTGAAAATCGATTATTTGGTTATTGTTCGTTATTTTTTCACCACTAATGTTATATTTATATTAAACCTTATTCATTTTTTGTTGCATTGTTCTTAATTCATTAACATTAAATAATATTTAGTAGCTTAAATAAATATTTTACAAATTGCAAAACGGAGTTACTTCTCTTTCTCAGGCAAATAAATTAAGTACGGAAGTAGCATTGCAGGAGGGAATGAGTTAAATAATAACATGATGCTTTTTTTTTTTTATATCCTTCCAATTTTAAGTTCATTACAGGAAAAACCAACTTGGCAATTTTGTGTTTCACAATCCAACTTTGAACATTTGAATATGTATGCATTTGTAATAATTGTTATGTCCAGAAATATTCTAGATTTTTAATTTTGAAAACAATTTGATTCTGTTAAGAGAAAAAAAAAAGAGTTGGAAATCAAATGGAACCATTGTAATGCTCATTTTGTTAATTATATATTCATAAGTTTTAATGAAGGAATGGAATTTTTAATTTTAGACTTGAACATTTGTTTTCATTTTCTGCTACTGTCTGATTTTAGCCATGTGATTGCCATTCTTTACATTCATAATTGATACATTTTGTATAGATTGTATTTTATACATTATTTATGGATTTTTGAATAGCATGTATGATATACTTTATTTTGATGTTTTCACTAAGGGAGAATGGTTTAGTACTTTGGGGCAGGGACTCTAAAGCAAACAATTGTTTCAGAGTCCTGTGATTTTGCAAAACTCTGTTGAAGAGCATGAATAATTATAATCAAAATGTAGAACGACATTTGAATTTATCTTGTGTTTGATCTCCTCCAGACAAATGCTGGTAGAGAATATACCAATATCAAGTATGCTACAGGAGCAGTAGAAGCAGCAAAGAGAGCTCAAGCTGCTGGACACCCCCCACCTGTGCCACCCCTGCCTCACCCTGGTGCTAGGCGGAGAGATGTGAGGTGAGGTTATGTTCAGTTATGAATTTGTGTAAACTTAGCTTAAGGACATCTTCTTAAACTTTTAAAATATGTTAGCGTTGAATAATTTATACAGTTAACCATTGTATTTCTAATATATATAATTATTTTAAAAAATTATTTTATTTACTTTTTTTCAATCAATTTTTAAAAAATGTACGGTACTTCATGAGATTTTTCTAGAAAAATGCTCAATCCAACTATGCATCCAAGCATTGAACATTATAATAAGAATCCACATAATTATACTAATCTATTTTGTTACTGCTAGCAGTTTATTCCTTTTTATTCTTTTTTTTTTTCAGATTGCCGAATGATGATTCTTCAATGCAGTATCAGAATATAAATGCTATGGACACATAAGTCTCACTCAACAGGGCCATAGAGAAATTATTCCCCCTTCATGAAACAAATTCAAGACATTTAAAAGTGTATTTGAAATGTAGCCTTTTATTTTAACATTCTGTGACACTGTCTCTCCTTGTCAAGACTCAGGAAACAGACACAGTAAAATAATGAGATTAACTAACAGCACTTCTTAATTGTACCATTATCAAATTCAAATCACTTTCTGGTATAGAATGAATGTGTTGGAAAGAAGCTTTTTAGAAACTGCAAGAGTTAATAAATGTTCTGATACATTTTCTGCCAAAGAGAATTATGGCTAGGATAGCCCACTGGCCAGCAACTCACACCCCAATAGCTACATCTTCTGTTTGAAGGAGTAGAAGCAAAAACTTTTTTTTTTTTTACCATTCTATAATAGCATGCTTCTCCAAAAGATTTACTAAGCAGAAATAAACTATAAACACAAAAAGGCTGCTGACCCCCCCTGATACTACAGCCTGTTCAAGAAGGGGAGGAGAGTAAAATTATTAGTTTTAAAGTCAAATGTTTCATGTTGAATAGCCAATGGTCATGTATTCATTCTATGCTGTGTTGAACACTTTTTTTTCTTCATAACGACCTAGAAAATGATATAATTCTATTTTTGTCAAATATTTATAAGTCTTACATGCATCAGTATGCAAGTTGGGACACTTCTCATTAATACTAGTTCTACATATCCTAAAGTCAGTCTCTAGGGAAGCAATGGTTGGCCATAAGCTGCATTCTGGCAAGTTGGGACACTTCTGCTGCCAATGATACATGGTTTAGAACAGCCTTCCCCAACCTTATAAAGTCTTTCAGACCACTTGAACCCTGCCGCAATAATTCATTCCCCCCCGCTCCCAAACAATGCCCTCCACCCCACCCTAAACTCCAGGTTGTATTGTTAAATATGTCTAATTTCAAAATTTTTACAATAACTTCTCATAGTATGAACAGAAGGAAAAAAAAATTTAGAACATTTTTTTTTTTTTGAAGATTCATTGTACAGAGTACTGTTAGGAGTCATATAAATGCTATGCAATGAATCCTAAGAACTTTCCTAGAAATCCATTAAGTTACTTCATTGCTAAATCAATTCATTTACACTTGTTAAAATGTTTTAAAGAAACACAACAAAAGATATCAAAAGAAAATGTTTCTCCTTTTGTAAAATATCAAATACAAATACTTCTAAAAATCCAGATTTGGCTTGTGGATTCACTTAAGACTTTTCACTGACCCCCCCCAGTTCAGTTGACCTCATGTTAGGGGAAAACTGGGTTAGAGAAGATTCCTGAGGTTCCATAGAGTGAGGAGATAGACACAACAGTTTTCATTAATTGTGTGGTTGTTTATGGTGTAAGAATTTAGCTAAGATCTTTCTTGTTTGCATTTTCACATAGTTATTTTGTGTTGGATAGATTTTCAAAAATTCTGTTAAATAAAAAATGTTTTTTTTTGTGGATAAAATATTACTGTAAATAAATATGGCATTTGTGTGAATTTTATGGAAGTATTATTAATTATTGTTTAATATCACTATAACTTAGAAGTATTGTCTTTTGTTGTAGTGTTAGTTTCAGTAAATGCTATTGTTGATATTATTGTAGGCAAAACTTGTGTGTGACACAATCATAGAGCTTTTGAATCCGGAGATATCTTTAAAAAATATTTATAAAATTGTAAAAAAAAAAAAAAAATAGACATTATTAACCTAGTGACAACTGATCAACTGTGTCTTAACTGTACTGTTGTAATCTCAATTCTCAGGCATGTTGTTTGCCTTCATATCATTTCCACACAATACTAAATGCAAGAACAAGCCTAATCAATGGAGGTAGCTTAGCTATGCTTAAAAACCTAAAAGAGACATGTGTAAGTTGCTTGTGTTTAGCCTTTGTGTTGTTCACTGGAAAGCAGTTCACAGAACAGATTCATCCTAGATCTTCTACAGTTTATTTTTATATTTTGTAAAATGGAGGGTCTTTCAGAAAATTATCCATATTAATATGGCTATTAAGTGTTACCCTTTCATGCTAACAGATTGAGGACCACTGATCTATATTGCATGGGTGTTACATGATATTTTAATGAAAGTGATATATGTATGAATTGTGATGACATAAAATTCAAATACAGGTATAAGAAAATATATAACCTTGGCAAATTTTAAAAATAAAATGTAATGCAGAGTATCTTCATAATTTAATTGCTACTAAATTTTTGTTCAACAAATGAATTTCTATTACACTAAGCTTAGACAGATAGCTTAAGATTTTGTTTCAACACTGTTAAAGTAATAAATTTAATCCCACCTTATTTTTATTTTGTTTCTTAGCTCATTTTATTATAAATTGGATAGTGGCATCGCTAGGGTTGGTGCCTCTCAGGGAGAGTCAGCATTTTCCTGACTCCTTCCTAGAAAAACTCAGTATTTGAACGATAATGCCGCCCCTATATATAAAGAAAAAAGTGCTGCCTCGGAGGACCCCCCCCCCTCTGCACTCCCCTTCCTACTCAGCTGGGTCTTTAAAAATTATAGCTATAGCCTCACATTATGATGTTTCAAAGATTGGAATTTTCTGTAAACACATTTTTAATGACACTGTACTATGCCGTGTAAGAAAAATCTCTGGATTCGTTAAACCTCCATTTACTTGTTTCACAATCACTTCAGGTAGAGTTTGATATCGTCAGCTGTCTTAAAGATTTTTGATGTTGCGTATCAAAATTTTTTCTATGCCTTACTCCAATTGTACAGTTTTATCTTTCTTCGCAAATGTTTTATTTTTTTTATTTTTTAGATCTATTTGTTAACTTAAGTGAGATAATTATGTTGCAGTTCAAAAAGCTCTCAATCCAACGAACCATTTGGTCTTGGCCGTTTTGTTTATTTTCGATTACCCGTAGTTGTTTTTTAATAGTTTTTAAAATTCAAAATGATATTCCTTATTCTAGCTTGGTTTTCTCTAATCTGAGTTTGGTTATTCCAAGACTCATTCAAATATTTTTTAACTTATAGCATGTAGTTAATATCTTTACAAAGTACACAAAAATGTGTAAATTATTTATATAAAAATAAGATTAATTTAAGCCTTAAGAAGTTAATTTTTCAAATTGAAAATATTTTACTTATTTTTCTAGAACATTTTTTGTGTTCACTTAGAAACGGTTGCTGCATTCATTACACAATGGTCTCACCAGAGTAAGCACTGCTTGTATAATAAAGAAAATTGATATTTATCATATTTGTCTTCTACAAAAAAAATTGTTTATTTTTCTGTTTGTGTATATCAGATTGACCAAATTGTATCTATTTTTATTTGCTGTTGTGAAGTGAAATTCAACCAACACTGTGATGATTAGTCTATGGGCCATAATTATGTCAAAGTCATGACCATAGCTGTAGAGTCAAGAGTCTGACTTTTTATTTTGTCACTGTAAGTCATGCTGTATGACTGTTTGTGGTTAGAAAGGGTCCCAAAGATATCCAAAATAATATGTTCCATTTTCATATATCAGAAAGAATTGTGCTACCCGGTACATAAATCTCCTATTAATTAGTTGTCTTCATCCAAGCATGTATCTTGTGTTTGTTTTAGTAAAAGTAAAATAATGTACAACCATAACCAATTGATGAAGAGTCAGAATTGGAAAAGTATTCTCTAACTCTATAGCCCTGTTTTTCAAAATACAAAAACATGGAACAATTCCAATTTAATAATCAGGTATATATGAAAACTTTGGCATTAAACTTTGCACATTCTATTTTTGTATCGCTCTACTAAAGTGACTTTAAAGAAAGAAAGAAGTATCAAAGATTTATTTTATAGTAGCTTTATATCCCAATTACAAAAAGCAATTATTTAAATTGATGACATAGGTATTTCACACAACTCCACACAATGTTATTAGCCATTCATGGTATGACATTTTGTTGTAAGTGTCTCTTATTCTTCTCCCAAAATTATTTTTGTTTTGAAAATGATTAATCCTACCTTATAATATCTGTCAAATTGTACCCACAATGTGTACATGACTGCTGTATGCAATACAAAAATGTGTTCTTTTATTATCCAAAATATGATTTAATCTATAATATGCACAAAAGAAAAATAATTAATAAAACAGGTGTCCTAATCTTTTTAATTTAAACAAAATAAATTAAATAGTAAATCATAAAAATATTATAATTTATAGACTGACTTATTTCTAATAGTTCAATGATGTTACTTTCACTTGTGTATAGCATTTATAAAATTATTTTGAATGCTAAAAATAATGTCATGATTTCCAGATTTTATCTCAGGAACTAGAAAGGTATGCCCTAACAGTGAAACAATGACAAGATAAAGAAAAGGGATTCATTTTATTTTTGTGTTTTGTTAATGCACACTTCAGCTTTAACAAAATTATGTATCAGTGTTACTTATGATAGCATTTGAAAATAGAGGCACTTGTCATGATGAATTATTTCTGTGTTAACACTTATATCTATCTTTTGGATGAGAAAGTAATGTTGTCTAAAAACATTTTCACCACCTTTTCTTAACTATTTTTTTGAATACTCAATATTACTAGTGGGGGGGAGGGAGGAGGAGGGGGTGGTGTGGTGTTGGGTTGGGGGGATTAAGGAAGTTTTATTTAAGTTTAAGCTTTTTAAAATAAAAATGTCAAATTGTGCACAACTCTCTTAGCCACTTAGATCCTCATAAGAAACAACTCATAAGTTACTGATTTTTTATTATCTGTTGTAAGCAGCCCATTCAGTCTTTCATCTTAGTAAGAGGCTGCATGTAGGCAAGATACTGCGATATTTATTTATTTACAGTTATTCTTTATATTTTTTCAGTACTTTAGGTGCCCTTTTTGTAGAGAAGATTTGATGCAACAGAAGAATCGTTTGACAAATTAGTAGCACTGGTAATATGTTTATATATATTTACAAATTACTTAAATTGGTCAAGAGTACAAACCATTTTGTAGAAACATAACGAGAGATGAGTGTATAAGTGAAGGAATAATGTGTTTGATTCAAGAAATGTGCTAGGATGTCGCTTCAGCATTTTGTTAATTAATATGAGTAATAAACTACTAGTGTTTCCATGAATTTCCATATGAAACAATGTTGCACAAGTGCCTCACAAGGTTGGCTCTTGTGCATTACATATTTCATTTATTGTTATTCACACTAAGGAAATTTCCCATGCGAATTACATTAATTACATTAATTTTTTCCACAATAAATTTTATCAAATTCAAGTTTGTATTTTTTATCTACTTTAATTTTTTTTTTTTAATATTAACTGCATGTGTTCATAATTATTTAAATAATTTTTTTTTAAAGTTTAATAAAAAATATTTTTTTTTACACATAGTTTATTAAAACTTTGTTTGAAAAGAGAAAGAATAAAACACCAAACTCATTTTTTTTTTTTTCTTGTCTATTATTTATCATGTTGCTTCACAATTATTGGCAACTGAGGCTGGCAATTAATTTCTTCAGAAAAAACAGGAATATTTTCCACAACATAAGATTATGAATGTTAAATAAATTAAAAACAAAACATAACTCTTCTAAATGTAATCCCCTCCTTCCAACATCCTCCAAATGAGCTGATAGTGTGACAGACACTACCGCCGAAGAAGAGAGTTATTAATATTTTAAGGGATTAACATCATGTTGTATTAGATGTTTAAGTGAATGTCAATATACAAATTTGATTTATAATTTTCTATAAATCCCTGCTCACACCTTTGTTGTCGATACAAATAATGTGCTTTTATATATTTTACGTAGTAACTATGTTAATGCAATAAGTGTTAATGAAGATGGTATTAGTTTCATTTTAATACTATAACTAGAAGAATATTTAAGTAAGTTAGGCCTAACTCTTTCCCCTCCCCCCCCCCCCTTTTTTACAGTATATTCTTTTCAAGCTATTCTTTCAATGTAGCTTTCAAATTATGATCATAACCCTATATTGATTATTGAAGCCTATTTTTTAAAATAAATATCATTTTCTATTATTAATATTTCTACAAATTTTACAAATTACATGTTATGTACTGCTTTGATCTTGTCCAGTTAAATCTGAGACATAGTGAGAAGCCAAAATAAAAAAAAACTGCTATGTTCACACCTCATTGCTTTATTTATGTTTTAACATTGGCAATAAACAATTGTTTCCATTCAAAATTATTGTACATCTTTTGTGCTCTTGTCTAATCTCAAAACCAAAATGTATACCAGTTTGAAAATAGGGATACACATCATAATTTTTTTTATACCAGTCACAAGTAACAGGCACCTCAAACATCATTTTTTGCAACTACAAATTTTTTAAAATAACTTTGCTTGTGGAAGGCTTCTTGGCCGAAATGTCCTGTTTTTTTGTATTGTCCTTCTTAAGGTTTTCCTCTATACTGTGTATATTTCTTATTGCTTTGACCTGAATGCAGCTCTCCCCAAATTTCGATAGAGGAGAACATCATGATTTATTTTATTTTTATTTTTTAAACCATAACAGATGGATTCCGGAATGTATGAAAGGGGGACAAAGTATGAGAATATAAACACATGCAAAGTGAGGATTGAGTTGCTTAATTTAATAATAATCTCTTATAAATATTTTGCTTCTGGTGCGGCTGCTTGGTTTGAACTACCGACTCTCCCCTTACTCAACATGTTTTTTTTTTAAGTAGGGGGGGGGGGGGGGAGAGAGCTGTTAAGCAGCGAGCGTAATGCCTGACGATTGAACTCCGGTAAGAAGGTTGAATTTTTTTGGAGGCAACCAGTAATCAATAGCCACGGTTATGGTGTAGGCCTGTAGGTCTATTGAATGGTTTAAAATCTGGCAGGTAGGATGTAGGACTGTCTGTTGGACTATTGTTTAAAATCTGGCATGTAGGGTGTAGAACTGACTATAGTTTAAAGGTTGACATGTCTTATAGAAAATGAGAAGTAAATTCTTTTTTAAAACATTTGGACCCACCGTTTAAAAAAAACAAAACAAAAAACAACTTCACCCGGTTAAACCCAAGTTTGGGCTTTAACGGGCTTATTTAAAAAAATAATTTTTCGTTGGAGTGGAGTGTATCAAAGTGTATGTATGGCTGGTTTTAATTTCGTTCTGAAAGCATGTAGAAGTAAAAATTCATATTGGAATTTGGCATTTAACTACGAACACACATTTTAGTCTCGTCTCGACTCCTTAACTAAGTAAGGCCAAATAAAGCTAATATTACTAATAATAAATAAAATTTAATCGTTTAGATTTTCTAAGAATCCGTGATGTGACGATATTTTAATATTAGATTTAATGTAACGGGGCTGGGGTGACAAACTAAAAATATTATATTATTAATATTATTCTTTAGATAATCGTTGTGCTCAATCGACCTAGGTCAATAGGATAAACCATGGCCCTATATTATATAATATGAAGTCAGTTGGATCCGCCTACTTGTGAATGTCAACACGGAAATAAACCCACGACATTCTCTGGCGCCCCCTAACGGAAGCGAAAGAAGGATTTAATTTTCACCTGCGACGGAGCGAATCCGTCTCGAAGATCTCTGACTCATTCCATGGTTTTTATGTACAAAAATGTGATCAAACTATTGCATTGTGCAAGTGGATAGCAAACGTAGCATTGTTAACAATAAGCATTTTGAGATACCAGAAAATATTTACTCCTGATAAAAAGGCTCGTTGTAGTAGGTTGGGTGTTATGAGTATTGTGCAGACGACACACTCAGACTCCACTGCTGAGTCAGTTCCATGAGTCTTGACTTCTTCAGCTCTTGTCGCTAATCGGAGACAGGAGTGTGAGTGACACAATCCAAGAGCGGCAGTAGGGGCTTACAGTCAGTGAGTGAGTTTATTTAATTTTGTGAGTTACTATTTAAAGTTGAAGCAAAGCAACCTATTTACTAGTATTTACCAAACTAGTTTTAGGAAGCCTAACTGAACTAACTAACTGGAAGAAAATAAAAATCTAAAAAATAATATAACGTAAATACGAATGACGAATTTGTTTTAGTTTTAGACTAAACACTAAACAGCAAGTGGTAACGACGTTAGTGTAATATTTTGTAGGCTTATGAAAGTATCACTAACTATTGACTAAATTAATTATAATGGCAGTGTCAAGTTTTAAATTAAAATGACAAACTTCTTCACACTCACACCAATGCCAATAATTATAGTTATTGTAGGCTATCCTACGAATATTAACTTGTCAGAATGTCTAGCCCTTAGGCTTAGCCTTACTCTGTAAGACCCACACTTTTGGGGTCTATGTTAGCAGGCTTGTTCTCACTCTCAGGCAAGCTTTGTCAAGCAAATAGCAAATGAGAATGTTTCCTTAACTTCACTGACTTGAGTCAAATTGAGTAGTCTCAGAGTAGTCTGTAACTGTAGTCTGTAGTAATAGTTGACTAGCTAGAGACCAGAGTCACTTCACTAGTGTAATGTTGTCACTGTTGTGACTGTCACTTTCTGAAAGTAAGATAATGTGACTGTGAGTGAGTCAAAACTACACAAATTTAATTAAATTAATCTTTTTGAATAACCATGACTATCTATAGATAATACTATAGAGGCCAAATAGGCTAGGCCTCAATTATTCAGATAAATCAAGTTCAAAGCCATAACCACTTTTCATTATGAATTATTTAGCTAGCTATTGTTAAAAAAATTAAAAAATCAAGTTTCAGAAATATTAATTAAGATAAACTTGTCACCTGATTTTATAAACATTGGGTTAATGAGTTGTTTTAAAAAAAGTTGAAATGTCATAAGTTATAATATAGGCAGTGTCAACACGTCCGGCGCACGGGATGTATATCTCCCGCACTATTTGTCTGGCGACCAAGTCACATGACCCCCGGAAAAATACTTTATCAAGATATTCGTCCGGCGACCAGGTCACATGACCGCCGTAACAAAGTGGCGAGAGATATTTTGTCCATCAGCCTTATCACGTGACCGCGAATGATTCAAAACTATTGTTAATTTTAAAATCTATTTCTCTACCAAGTAATGTACATCTTGCATGCAAATAATAGAAAAAAACTGAAGTGAAAGTGGCTTGTAAACATTTTTGTTTAGTTTGTTATTTGAGTTTGTGTACCAGTAACCCATAATATAAATTAGGGGCCAGTATTCAGTATGGAGTGGGCAACCAATAAAAATAAAAGATTTTAAATTGTTAAGTAAACATTTTAAATTGCTACAAAATATTTTTTTAAATTCTCATAAAACTACCCTTGCTGATGAACATGATAATATAAAATATTTTTAATTAAAATGGGGGGAAAAATAAGTTTCCCATACGGGAAATCGATCAACAAACATAATATCGTCAAGCGGCCACACTACCACATGACCACACAAGATCTTCATAATAGCCACTTCTTTCGGAATAATAACGCCTACTAGTCGTCCGGAGGTCACGTGACATGCTCGCCGGACGTATATCTCCCACACTATTTGTCCGGCTCACCGGACGTGTAGACACTTCGTATAATATAATTGAGATATCATAAGATAATCATATGCTATGAGATAAGAATAATAAAT